AAGCCTTAAAGAACAACAAAATTATATCATACAGGGAAATGGAAATGACTGGTGGTAATCATATTAAGCAAAGTTAGTCAGTCTCAGGAAGATAAATATCACATGTTTTCTCTCATTTGTTATTTCTAGACTTTATACAGACACATAAAATCAGAAACATACATACATACATGTGACATAAAAGTAGAAGTGAAACTGTCTAGGAGAACAAAGGGCACCAACAGAAGAAGAGGTGGAGAGGTGGGAAATATGCTCAAAGAACACTATATCCCTGAGCAAAAATGTTTTTTTAAAACACATTATCATGTTCAATGGATATACACCAATGAAAATAAATATATGAAATCTAAGGTTTAAGAAAATGTGAAAATCCATGAGAAAAGGTAATAATATCCCAACCTTTAAATTTAAGAGAGAAATGACAGGTATTAGGAGGCACTCTTTGGTATACATAAAAAGATTTCTATAAGCTACTGAACATTTGTGAGAGTTGCAGCTTCCAGATGAATGACCTGACCTAGATCTGTCAGGCCATGCTTGGCTTGCTCCAAAATAGATCTTGCTTGCCTAGTTTGAGAATTCCACAAGCCTTAAATAATTTACACAGAAATGAAGCCTACTGCAAATTAAGTAGACATGTAGAAGATTCTTTATTTTGAACATTACTATCTTTTGAATAGGTAAGGTTCTGTGTGGTTCAAAAACCAAATGAGGTTTTAAAAAAAATGCCCATATTGAGAAGTTTCATTCCAATCTTATTTCTGACAACTTCATTCCCTACATTCCGTAACACCACTAACAACCACTTTCACTAGTATTTTTCAATGTTCACTTGTATATATAGAAATAAATTTTATTCATAGTCTCCTATCCTCTTCTATTCAGAACACAAGGAATAATATGTATTATATTGTTTCCCCATATTGCATACTGTTTCTTATCTCTCCACAGTTGTGCTGAATTACAAAGGGTAAAGTTAATTGAGAGGTCTTTAATGCTGTGAACTATTTCTGATCTTGTGCTGCTATTAGAATGATCTAATGAATATATAATCTTGTGTTAGCTTTCCATCACGATAACAAATACTGACATCCAACTGATAAGGGAAAGATGTTTATTTTGGCTTACTGTTTTGCAATTTTAGTATGTGATTAATTAGTCCCCTTACTTTGGGGCACGACGGGGTATTATGTCTGGAGCAAACAGCAGAACAAGACCACCTACTGCATGATCAGAGAGCAAAGAAAGAAGAAAAGATCCAGGTCTCACAGTCCTGTGCAGGAACAAGTCCCTTAAAGACCTTCCATTAAGCCCCAGTTCTTAATGTCTTACCACTTCCCAATGATGCTCCTCTGGGGACCAAGCCTTTAGCACATGGGCATGTGCATATTTGGGTTCCAAACTGTATCAAACCTCCAATATGAAAGAAAAAAATATTTTAGATGAGTACACAGAAGAGTGGATTGGAACATGGATGAGAACAATTTGGCAACAAGCAAAGGCCAGTATCCTCCAGTGGACCTGTGGAGTTGGGGCTTGTGGGATATTATAGTTAATTAGATGTGTAGTGAATGACCAGGCAGATTTTTCCAAGGGGGAGTTTTTCTTGATTGGTTTTCTAAGTGGAAAACATTTTGTTCTTGATTTTTTTTTTCCCAAGTGAGATGCTTTCCAGACACTGGAGCTCACCTCTACAGCCCAGGCAGGCCATTAGGCTTAACACATTTTTAGCATTTAGAAGATAACATCAGTTTGATCTTAGGGGGATGGAAAATAATTGCAAAAGCCTATTCTTAGCCAGTGTTCCACATTCTGAGAAAAAGTTTTCAAGGCTCATGATTGAACTTCTTTAAAAAGTACTCCCTAGGGGCTGGAGAGATGGCTCGGCAGTTAAAGAGCATGAGTTGTTCTTCCAGAGGAACCAGGTTCAATTCCCAGCACCCACATGGCAGCTCATGACTGTACTTCCAAGATCTGACACTCACACAGACATACTTGCAGACAACATACCAATGCACATAGAACATGAGAGAGAAAGAGAGAGAGAGGGAGAGAGAGAGAGAGAGAGAGAGAGAGAGAGAGAGAGAGAGAGAGAGAGAGAGAGAAGTGCTCTCTGACTGACATGGACTTGGGAACTAAGAAGATATAGTACCACAGACTATTCATGCCCCTTCCTTCTAGCTCTTCCCATCCTACAGCATAGATTAGCCTCTTTCCCATCACAGTGAAGGAGCCTGGTTCATTTGAATCATCCACGGCAACATGCCCTCTGAAAACCCTTGGCTGAAGTATTTCTAGATGGCTTGGTTTGGGACAGTGGGCGCTGGAAGACACACCATCTGGTTGGGTAGCCTAGGTTTTAGGGAAAGAAGTCAGAGTTACAGTCCTCTTTCCTAATAGGCAATGTCTCAAAGTTCTGCTCAGTCTCATAGTGGGGAAATAAATAAATTCATAATTCAGAAATTCATTTGGTCAGTGCCCTGACACAGCCACAAGTACTCCATAGGTATCTTGGTAAAATGGGGCTTGATATAATAACAGGAACGATGTTGGGCCTCCCTTCAAGTCTTTAAATATCTTTTTTTAATTAAAAAACAAAACAAAAACAAACAAACAAAAAAAAAACTTCAACAGAACGGAGCTGTGGAGATCTAGATTTTCCATCCATCCCTTACTAGGAACTAACCTGAATTCATTTTCACTCACTGAAGCAGGGACAGTGCTCTTAAAACATGGCAGTTCAATGCTTCTGTTTCTAAACTCTCATACATCTTTAGAGCCAGATTCATTCCTTCAGGGCACACCAAGGACTTACAATTCTGTGCTCTTCCAGAGGTCATGCTTAGTTCAGCAATGCAGCAGACACACCATTTAATTTGAGGGTCTCCATTCTGCTGCTGTGTATTTTAGGGTTACTGCTCATGGGTGTGAAGATTAGGTCTGCTTTAGAAGAATTTCATTGCTGTTTTGATTTAAAAAAATTTCCCTCTAAAGACTGATTTATAATAAGCCAACTGACATGTTGTCATTTTGTTTCAAAGATACATTGGAATTGGAAAAATGTTCTGTTGATAAATATTACTTTATAGAGGAGGACACTCTATCCTGATTGCTCATTCTTCAATGGTCAGAGATTAAATACAAAGTGATGGGCACACAGATAGTAACGTCCCCCTAGTGTGTGTGTGTGTGTGTGTGTGTGTGTGTGTGTGTGTTTTCAAAGGTAGTTATATACTGGGAAGAAGCATGGATTTTAGAGTCTGAAAGCAGATTTACTTATTTACCTGTTAATGCCCTACACAAAAATAGAAGTTTGTTCAAACATTAATTGCATGATAGTGACAATAAGGATTAAAGCAAGTCAGGGATTTCCATGGCACCCTGCCAAAGAGCCTTCAGTTTAGATCCCATTTCTGGCTCTCTAGAGCTTCATGGCTTTAGATAAGGCACCCTTTTAGAGTCTCACTATTTCATCTATACAAAATAGTAACAACACATTTTCTCTTGTGTTGTCCTAGGGTGAAATGAAAAGTGGTTGACACAGTGAGGGATGGAGAGAGGACACTGTGATTAAGAGCACTGGTTCCTCTTGCTAAGGACTCTGGTTCATTCCCAGCACTGACATGGTGGCTCACAACAATCCGTGACTCTAGTTCCAGAGAATCTGACGCTGCCTTCTGACCCCCTTGGATACATGGCGCATACACACATGCAGACAAAACACTCAAACACAAAAAGTATAAAAAATTATTTAAAGGAAATCTTTGATACACAAAAATCATACATTCCCATTTGTCTGTCCTCTTTTACATGGTGACATTGGCTACATGGTGAATTCAAGGGCAACCTGGGCTAAGTTTCTCTGTCTCAAAAATGAAAAACAAACAAACAAAAAAAAAACTAACAAGTTAAAAGAAAGCCATAAATAAAAGCTTTTTTTTTTAGTAAATAAAACTTGCTATGTAGTTACTGATGTTCTTGGAACCAAATGAATAAGAAAATTTACTATGTTATGATCTTTTATAGGTATTTATAATTTCATATATAAAAGGGTTAAGTGTAGGGGACATAAGAAAATAAATTATATTTCAGTAATTAACTTGAAGACTTCTTTGAGAACTTCACAGAAGTCTACATTTAACTGTCATGTTAAATAACTATTTCTACAAAAATAAATTATTCCTACAAAATCTGTAAGTGTATATGTATGTATATATACACATTCAGCTTAGACTTTTAAAATTCAAATTTAATTACAAGAGAACATTGACAGCAGCAGAAAACAATATATAAGTTACTGTAAAAACAAACCCAATTTACTATGACTGCTTACACTAGATTGAGGTACTTTTGCCTAATAGCATGTTGAGGTACTTTTGCCTAATAGCATATTGAGGTACTTTTGCCTAATAGCATATTGCACAATAGAAAATAAGCCACTGAGAATCTCAGTACAGCACATCTAAATCCTATCTCTCACTAAGGAGAAAACCAAGAAAGTGGACGTGAAGTAAACATGCTTGAAATACTAAAATTGGTTGACTTAATCAACTTGAATCTTAATGCTCAATAGAATGAGTGTGACAGAGCTGACTTGGTAAACAAGTGTGTGATCAAACTGTTGGTTTGCCAAGCAAAAGCAAAAGCAGATCAAATCACACTCTCTTCTGGGAACCAGGCTGACATCTGTTTATGATCTCAGCTACAGTGAAACCCACAGTAAGCTTAACTCTCTACAATGGCTAATGGGCCTACATTTTCCTTTTTTTCACGACAGCACATTCATTTTAGGATCCTTGAGAGTGTAAGTCTGAAGCTGTAGGAAGATGTTTGAGGTTGGAGATGAGTAAGTTATGAGTTAGAAGATACAGATAATCTTAAGAAAATTTCAAAGGCACAGCAGGGGCTCTGGTTAATCTTAAATGTATTCTAGGTGGTAGGACTGAACATTAATATTAATTTTACAACAGTAACAACATCATCATAGGAAAGTGGTTTTGTTAAAAGCATAGTAAATGAATTATCTTTGCTTTTGCCATAAAGCTAAGGCACAGATATCTGAAGTATTAAAGGGAGGCAACAGGAAGCAGAATTTCCCTTATGGAAAGAGATGGCGGAGTTTGGCATTAAGTTCTCTCTCCTTGCTTAAAAGATCCAGGCTGTGCTTTTTGAAGGCTTCCGATTGAAGACGCAGCTCATCATAAGCCTTTTGGATCCCATCTACCCTACGCTGAAGCTCGCGTACTCTCAAGTTGCTATCAACGGCTACTGCCTCTTGCTCGAAGCGTTCCAGGGCATGCTTCTTGGCCATGGCTGCTGTCTCCAACTTCTCCTCAAGCTGGCGGATCTCTGCCTGTTTGTTCTGGAGCACCTTGCCCCTCTCCATGGACAGCTGCAGCAGCTCCTCTTTCTCACGTGTAACAGTCTGCAGCCTGGCCTGTAGGTCCTGGCTTAGGCTGCTATGTGCCTCCTGGTCCTTCACCATCTGGTCGGTGGCCTGCCGGTGTAGCTGCTTGAGGCTCTGCAGTTGGCTGAGCAGCTGCTCAGTCTCCTTGGCATGGGCACAGGCCTGCTGGCTCTGCAGAGCCAGCAGCTCCTTCTCTCGGGCCTGAGCCTGGCTGGCATCATGTACACACCTCTGTTTCAAGACCTCCAGTTCCTCCGCCAGGGCCTTGTTGTGTGCAGTGAGCTGCAGTATCTTGGCCTCCTGGTCTTTCAGAGCCTGACTGAAGAGGTTGCTATTCTCCTGCTTCAGCTTCTCATTCTCCTCCTTCAGCTTGAGGTTTTCATTCTTGTGCTCGTCCTTGAAGCGGATCATCAGCTCATGGTTGGCTGCCAGGGTCATAAAGCGACCCTCCAGCTTTTGAACATGATCACTCTGGGCCTTCATCTTCTCCATCTCCTGCATCCTCTTCTCCTCCAGCTCGGTGTTGAGCAGTTCCAGGATCTGGCAGCGTTCCAGAGCCTCATCTGATCTGCGTTTCAGGATGCAGATTAGCTGGGATTGCTCTTGAATGCGGGAGCGGAGCATTGCCTTCTCACCCTTCTCTTCCTCAGACAGTCCCCTAAGGTTGGCCAAAGCTTCTCTCAGACCATCCATTTCCTTAAACCCCAGTTCCTCGTCCTGGTTTTGTAGGTTTTCATTTTGTTTTCCTAGGGGCTCATCAGGGGGTGGGGTATCCATCCTAAGCGTCTGTTCGTCCTGAGGCATAGACGCTCTGCCTGAGAGCTTGACTTCAGCCTTTCCCCCTCTGATTTCAAAAGGGCGTTGCTATGGACTCTTGGCACGCTCCAGCAGTTGGTTTTTCCAGTAAGGAGTCCTGTAATTGGTGGGCAGACCTTCAGAATACAGTGAGGTAATAGGGGGCGTCCAGAACCAATCTTGTTGGGCTACTCCTGCCTTTTTTTTTTTTTTTTTTTTTTTTTTTTTTGTCCAGCCACTGTCCAGCCTGTACAGCCCCCAGAAGCCAACCACAAACTCAGCTTTCTGTTCACAATAGGGGACCTGACTCTTCAGGATTTCTGATAGAGTAAACAGAGTAAGCTTACAAAGACCTGTTCCTCCTCTTTGTCCTGAAAAGAAACTGTTGTGTGTAGAAATATAGTTGCTGTGCGTGCATTCAAATAGTCTGAAGCCAAGTGCTTAGCTCAGTCCTTGTAAATGAAATTTTTCTTACTTTAATGGCGTCCTTATGTCTGGAATGGATACCATTAGACACTCAGCACTCCTGTTTTTATCTACTGGGAAGATAAATTTACACAAGGAGACACAATGAACAATACAGATGGGATCAAATCAGCAAAGAAAAAAAATCATAATAATTACACTGTGCCTAGCACACTGGAGAGACAGAGATAAATATGTTGAACAAAGGCCAGTGGGAAAAAATAAAAAAGATAAATTAGCTTGTCAGATAAGACAGGCATTTTTATATAAAGCTTATAGGGATTAATAGAGCATCATGTTAAAAAAAGAAATGGCAATTGCATTAACAATCAGCTGAGAACAGAACCTCACAAGTGATCCAACAAATGCAAGTGAAAATTAGATACTATTTCATGCACCAAAATCAGTAAAAAACAAAACAAAACAAAACATTCTCCTTATCATTTATGACTACCCAGGACTCATAAGGGAATGATGAAGGAAGCCCTCTTTACATTATTGGTGAAAGGCAGTTAAGAGTATCTATACAAGAGTACCTCAGCAAGCATTTGCAACACATCTCTAGATTAAGAAAATATTCTTTGAAGCTTCAGGGAGGTCTTTGCCTAGAAGTCACATACGCACAAACAAAACCCATCATCCTGTGTTTCCTGTGGAGGGTGGGAGATTCTATCACTCACATTGGTATCTTACAGGTAAGGGATGGGAGGTAGGCAGAGGCAAATAATTCTGGATGAGGTCAGAGGAGCACAACCGATTTTTTTATTGCTTCAGAGATGAATGGATGCTGGGAGGCATCCAGCCAGAGCAGAGCTTGCAATGACACTGTATCCCAGCACAACCTTAATACAGACCAATAGGGTGACTCTATTAACTCATCATTCCCTTTATCAACATCAAAGAGTACTAAGAGTACTGTTAATTACATCTATGACAGACCTGGGGAAACAAGGGGAGGAATTAATTACATTAGTTGCTCACTAGTGGATTCAAGGCTACAGTCAGTATTTGTTTGGGGACAGAGGTAGATAATCTAGTAGGCTTCTATTTGTGTGTGTGTGTGTGAGAGAGAGAGAGTGGGGGGAGTTGTTTAGCATTGGTTTGTTTGCTTGTTTTTAACCAGTCTCACCCTATAGCCCAGGCTGGCCTCAAACTTAAAGCAAATCTCCCAACTCAATCTACTAAATGGGGAACTATAGGCATGAGCACATGCTTTCTTCAGTGGTTTTGACAATATCTTTGAGGCATCTTTATAAGATCCCATATTCACTCATTGACCAGACCTCCTTAAATTCATGTTAAATCAAGACTTGTTTTGAGAAATAAAAACTAGTTGGGGTCTTAAGGTGGAATAATGCTTCTTGCATCAAAATGGCCCAGAGAAACCACTGGGGGGAAATTAGCAAGAAACATTAACTTCAATCATAAATCTGACTTATTTTCAAGCTTTCAACAAGTATTTTTAAAATAAAAATTCTAAATGAACCAAAGCTGTTCATTTAGATGAAACAATGCCTAGAGTTCCATTGAAGACTCTAGAGAAGTTAGCCATATAAGAGAATTTATATTTTAAGATTCCAAGTACAAAGTATTTTTAATATAAGAAGTCAGGCTAGCCAGGCATTGGTAGTGCATGCCTTCAATCACAGCACTCAGGAGGCAAAGGCAGGTATATCTCTGTGAGTAGGAGGCCAGCCTGGTCTACAGATTGAGTTACAGGACAACCTCCAAAGCAATACAGAGAAACCCTGTCTCAAACAAACAAGCTAACAAAAAAAGAAGTCAGGCTAAACTACCAATACAATTTAAATCACGATAATTTATTTTAAGGGTTTTTACAAAATACTGAAAATTATACACAGGGAGTACAATAAAATTGACAATTTTTATTCTAATTGAAACTTTGTAGCAAAGCATATCTGTGACTACTTTTATTCTGTTTCCATATAGTAAAATAAAAACAATCATATGCAATATTTTAGCATACTGTTATAAAATACAGACTTTTAAAGCAAAATAAACCAAAGCCAAGAGCTGAATTCCATATGCAACCAGTAGGTGGCACCAAAGTCCATTTTAGATTGAGAAGGAGTGGTGGGAGGGGTGGGGTCTCTCAAGGCAGATTTATTGCCAGTTAAGTCAATCTTACTGCCCTAACATGGAATTCAATATCTTATTCGAGGTTGTCAAGTAAATAGTTGTCTTATTATGAAGCTGTCTGTCATCACTGTTGTTCTTTCTGTCTTTATTCCAGGAGCATTTTTTTGTCGCTTTGCCCATAACCCCTTATTTATATGCACAACAAGCATTTAATAACCAAAATGCAGGCCTAAACTGCCATGCAAGATTGTGGCATGAAACCTGTAATGGTGTCGTTTTCTTTGGTGTGGAAGCAACAGTTCTGTTTTCCTAGCTTGTTCAACTATCTTCTTGAATGTTGGCATCACACATCTTGTTGGGCATACCTCTCTTGTCACTGGTTTAGCTCTTTTAAGCTCTGCAGTCAAAGAAATGCATGCAAATTGACTTGGGGAATGCTTGCATAGTAATCATTAGTGACAAGGAGTGTGGATGTTTGTCTAAAAAGTTAGAATTCTCAAGCTCAGGTCCAGCTGGGAAGTGGTTTTTGATGGTGGAATCGGCTGAGTGGGGTCATTTGGAAATCTTGGCAATCAGAAGCATCCTGAGGGGCAGTGTTGCTTCAATCCAAGTGTTGGGAGAATTTACCATCTTTTCCCAGAGAGCAACTTCCTCAGAAGTGGAATCCATCCAATCTACTTCAGTCCCATAGCTTTTTCCTGAAAGAAAGGTTTATATTTGCAATTATATTTCCCACTGTGGGCAGGGGAGAAGGGGAGTTAGTCATTCCTCAATTGTAACTACTATGAGAGAAGATAAGAAAAAGCTTGCTCACACCAGGAGAGCACAGCTGCTGCAGAAGGAAGAACTAATGTTGGTACCCATATAGCTTCACTGTTTCAGTCCCTCATGGTTCCCAGTTGGTTGCTCTTCATATGCTTTTCAGGGCATGGAGGAGTTGGGAGGTTTATGTATTGTTAGAGATGACACTAGCTCAGTGGTCCTCAACCTCCCTAATGCTGGAACCCTTTAATATAAGTTCCTCATGGTGTGGTGACTCCCACACACCATAAAATTATTTAATTGCTGCTTTGTAATGGTAATTTTGCTATGGTTATGAAGTATTATGTAAATATCTGATATGCAGGATATATATTATTTGACCCCTGTGAAAGGGTCCTTCAACCCACAAATGGGTTGAGAACCACTGCGCTAGATGATTGCCTAGGAATACTGGCTAAAGTTTTTTGCCTGAAAGACTTGATTTTATAATTTGCTTCTGTCATTAGCTGTTACTTATTTATTGCTATTATTATTATTGTCTGTGCTGTTATTTGGGGATATCATTTCCTTTGGGACTATCACTAACTGCCTCTTGGAACTGTGATAAAAAGTAAGTACAAAAATGTAAATAAATCATTGAATAGAGTGATGTAATAGTAGTCACTATAATTGTTCTAAGCGGACCTTTAGCTATATTATTTGTGGGAACACACAAATTTTTCTAGCTTTTTCAACTATCTTTTTGAATATTGCATCACAATCTTGTTGGGCATACCTTTTGTCATAGTTTGACTCTCTTGAGCCATGCAATTAAAGAATTGTATGCAAATTGACTTGGACATGCTTCGTAGTACTTATTAGTGGTAACAGGTGAGGATGCTTGTTCATGAAGTTAGAACTTTCAGGAACCTGCTGGCAGTAACTTATACTCAGCAAGGGTAGGCCCCAATGCTGGTCCTCTTAACCTAGAACCTTTAGAACACCAATGGTCTTTCACTCACTGGTTTCACTACATTTAGGACTTTAGCATCTCCTAGAGAGTTTGGCTCAAAGAGAATTAAACTTGTAATAAATGTTACCTGTTCCAAAGCCAATCCGGAGACCTCCCAGAAACTGGTTGGTTAGTTTATAATGGTCCCAGACTGTGAGTTCTACACAGGCTTCCATCAGATCTTCAGGCCTGAACCCATCATACACCATGGTATGGTTGAAGACAGGGTTGGTGGTTTTTCCTACAGCTCTTGTCTTCTGGCGACTTTTCCTACTGGTATCTGGAAGGATGGTACTATAAAAAGAGAAAGTAATGTCAAGTCATTTTAGTTCAGAAAGTGAACATTTATGCTGGTGAAACACCTCAGCATAGCTGTCAGATAGGCAATGAAGATAAGCAGTATGGAAGCTGGCTATGGTGGCTCACATTATAATCCCAGCACCCATCAGGTTGAAGTAGGAAGACTGAACTGAGTCTTTTTAAAAAGACTGCTGGGGAGATAGCCACTGTCAGGGAGGTGCTTGTCTGGCAAGCATGGTGACCTCAGTTCTCACATCAGTATCCAGCTGAGCAGGGTGGGATACATGTTTAATCCCAGTATTAGGAATTAAATAGAAACAAAAGAATCTATGAGTCCCTGTAGCCACACAGAATAGCCTAACTGGTGAATGCCAAGCTGATGCAAAGGAAGTGGACTGCATTCCTGAGAATGATATCCAAGTTCTCTTCTGACTTTCACATACACACACACAGAGGGGAGAGAGAGAGAGAGAGAGAGAGAGAGAGAGAGAGAGAGAGAGAGAGAGAGAGAGAGACGGATGGAAGGAGGGAGGGAGGGAGGGAGGGAGAGAGCATGTGGAGAGACTGTGCTGGTAGTTTAGTAAAAGTCAGGAGAAGATGCATCATGCTATAAAGATTGGGAACAGAAACAGCCAAGGTAGGTTTGAATATTGGCTCTGCGACTTGCTGGCTATGAATTCCAGAAAAGTCACTCAACTTCTAATTCGCTTCTTCAGTACAAAGTGGGAATGGTGATGCTGGCTTTGTAAGATTGACATTAGAAATAACTAACATGCAACACACATAGTTCAGTTAATAATGAGTACTTAATGTGGTAGAAATTGCTAGAGGATTCTTTTAGAATCTAGCACAGGTGAACTGGAGATAGTCATGCCAAGTGAACTATCAGACTCAGAAAGACACAAGGTCGTGTGTGTGTGTGTGTGTGTGTGTGTGTGTGTGTGTGTGTGTGTATGTGTGTTTGTGACATGAAAGTAAAAGCAGAATTGTCTAGGAACAGAGGGGATAAACGGAGGGAGAGGAGGGCAGAAATACTCAAAGTACATTATGTACTTATATAATGTTCTTATATAATCTAACACCATGTACAATGAATATACATCAATGGGGAATAACTAAAATTAATTAATCAATAGGTTGATTAAAAAATAACAACACACCATTTCAAGGTCGGTGAAGAATTGTGGTGGGATTTTAATGGGGATTGCATTGAATCTGTAGATTGCTTTTGGTAAGATTGCCATTTTTACTATGTTAATCCTACCTAACCAAGAGCATGGGAGATCTTTCCATTTTCTGGTATCTTCTTTAATTTCTTTCTTTAGAGTCACAAAATTCTTATTATATAGGTCTTTTACTTGTTTGGTAAGCGTTACACTAAGATACTTTATGTTGCTTGTGGCTATTGTAAAGGGTGATGTTTCTCTGATTTCTTTCTCTGCCTCTTTGTCGTCTGCCAGAATGGCTAAAATTAGACACACCAGTTATGACTTATGTTGGAGAGGATGTGGAGAAAGTGGAACACTCCTCCACTGCTGGTGGGAGTGCAAACTCATACAGCCATTTTGGAGATCAGTATGGTGGTTCCTCAGGAAAATGGAATTAGTTTACCACAGGACCCGGCAATCCCACTCTTAGGCATATACCCAAAGGATTCACATCCATGCAACAAAGACATCTGTTCAACTATGTTCATAGCAGCACTATTTGTAATAGCAAGAACCTGGAAGCAACCTAGATGCCCCTCAATTGAAGAATGGTTAATGAAGATGTGGCACATCTACACAATGGAATATTACTCTGCAGAAAAAAATAATGGTATCTTGAAATTCGCAGGCAAGTGGATGGCACTTGAAGAAACCATCCTGAATGAGGTAACCCAGTCACAAAAAGAGGAACACAGTATGTACTCACTCATATATGGATTTTAGACCTAGTTCAAAGGATCACCAGCCTATAATTCACATCACCAGATGAACTAGGATACAAGGTGTATTCTAAGAGAGTCATATAAAGTCCCTCACAGAACTGGGAAGGGACAAGTCCCCCAGAGCTCAGGTGAAGTGGGGGAGGACAGCAAATGGAGAGAGAAGTAGGAGAAAATGAGGGGGAGGAAAGGAAAACATGTGCGACCAGGAATATTGAGCCTGGTTAGGAATAGAAGATAGGAAAGAGAAAGAGACAGAGACAGAGACACAGAGAGAGAACATAAAAGAGGGAGCCAATATTGGTTTGAAGATAAAATTGAACACAAAGAAAGGTCAAAAGAACTATAAGACTGCTCCCAACTAACAAGTTGAGCTTACGTGGAAAGGTTATCATAAATGCCCTTCCCGGAGAGTGAGATCAACAACTAACTTCTCCATGGAGCCCTCAACTAATGCCTGTTGGAAACAGGAGCAAACACCCATACATAAACACTGAGTGGAACTAGAACCCAGATGCAGATGGAGAGGACAAGACCATGCTGCAGAAACACATAGAGACAGCTTACTTGAACAAGGAGGAGGTAACGGCCACTAGACTGATAGCTGGGAAGCCAGCATGGGACTGACTCGGGCCCCCCTGATTATGGGTCTCAGCCAGAAGGACTGAGCAGTCAAAGAGACCTCAGACAGTGGAGCCAGGATGTATCCCTGGTTCACAAAAGAACTTTGCGAACATATCCCCCATGGAGGGATAACTGCCTTAACTTAGAGACAGGAGAGAATCCCTAGTCCCTACTTCACAGGACCTGTCAGATCTACATGACCCCAACTGGATGGCACTCCCCTACATATGGAATTGGGGTGGGGGGATGGGAGGGGAGGGTGTTTAGAGTACATGTGAGAGGGCAGAGAGGGTAAAAAGGGAGGGAAGGAGGGAGGGAGGGCTGGGGGGGGAGGGAGCGAGGGAGGGAGGGAGGGAGAGGGAACTGGGATCGACATGTAAAATAATATATTAAACTAAAAAAAAATGCTTTGACTCCAAAATTTAAGTTGAAGGACAAGTTACTGGGGAAAAGGATTTCTATTTTTGTTTCCACAGAAAATGAAAAGATGTGGACTCCTTCCAGACTAATGTGGTTTGATCAAGCCAGACCACCTGAAACAGAGTACAAGCTGATCCTACATTCAAAACAGCTGGACAAAGCAGCCTGACAGACTACAGCCAGGATATCTGAATCTTCTTCAAATCCCCCAAGACAACGCCCCTTACCAGCAGGAAGTAGTTTGGAAAGAACGACGCCCAAATTCCCAAATATTGTGTATAAATGTTTGTTTTCATTTAATTGGACTGTTATATAAAATTAAATAAAATTAAAAAAAAAATAACAACACACCAAAGCTCACAAAGTCCTATCTCATTGTCCTTTTGATCTTTTTGCATTGACTAAAACGTAAAAAAATAATCGTAGTGTACTTTGTAATATAGAAGACAATTTGTGTAGATTAAAAAATATAGACAAGAAAACAAATGGAATAAGTACAGAAAATATGCCACATGATCACAATGGTAAACTTAATATACCCAAAGGTATAATTATTATATGTTAGAAATTTTGTTATAATTTAAACCCTATTTGTTAATATTTCCTGGAACCATTAATTTAGAAATTTAGAACTTCCAAAGTCCATTTGTATACCAGGGATAAATTCTGATCTACTAGCAGAGGCCCCATAGACTGCCCAGTCCTCTAATACCACATTCAGGGAATCTGAGTCTGTCCTATGCTGGTTTCCCAGCTATCAGAGTGGAGTCCATGAGTTCCCCCTTATTCAGGTCAGCAGCTTCTATGGGTTTCTCCAGCCTGGTCTTGACCCATGTGCTCATCACTCCTCCCTGTCTGCAACTGAATTCCAACAGTTCAGCTCAGTGTTTAGCCACAGGTGTCTGCTTCTGAAATTTTGTTTTGTTTTGTTTTGTTTTGTTTTTTTCCGAGACAGGGTTTCTCTGTGGCTTTGGAGGCTGTCCTGGAGCTAGCTCTTGTAGACCAGGCTGGTCTTGAACTTACAGAGAGGCGCCTGCTCCTGCCTCCAGAGTGCTGGGACTAAATGGACTTTGGGAGCCCCTTCTACACAGAGAGATAGTCTCTCAGTCTAGACACATGGGTGAGGGCCTGGGCCCTGTTCCAAATGATATAGCAGATTTTGAAGATTACCCATGTAAGGCCTCACCCTCTCTGGGTAGAAGAAAGGGATGGGAGTTGGTGGGGATGAGGAGGGGCGGGTATAGAAACGTGGATTGATATGTACAACAAGCTTGTTTCTAATTTAAATTAAAAAACATAAAAATTTTAGAAATTCCATGTATTTCTGATTGTTAACTCAAGGAACTAATGTCATACAAAATTGAAAAAAGAGAAATCTCTTCAATTTACTATATTTGACTTTGAGAATAAATAATTTGACAGTTTATAATTACACACATCTCATTTAGGAGAATTAAATAAATACTAACTTCCCACATCTCTCACAAAGACAAGACATCTGAGAGTGGCCTTGAAATAACAGACTAACCTGAGCTGAAACATCTTTCCAACTAACACCTGGGCACAGTATTATGTATTTAACAAGCAATACTGTATCATATACTCTTAAATCTATAAATATACCGAAATAGGAACAACTTATCTTCTAGTAGTATCTCCATAGATAAAACTAGAGCTAGAAGGCCACACTAGTATCTATTTAGCTACTGTTTAGTAGACACTAGTTATTTTGTGTACATAACTGAGAAGTTAGCTGCCTGAAAACTCAAAGTGTCTTACATGCTAATTCCTGGTTGGAACTTGTTTGACAAATTATTCTCAAAATATTTTCAATCTAATGCAAATGGACAAAAAGAAGAAGGAGGAGGAGAGAAAGAAGGAAGGAAGGAAAGAAAGAAGAAAAAAGAAGGAAAAGAAAAAGGAATGAAAAAAAAAAGATAACCAAACCAAACTCTTGGCACAGATATCAAAAACTTAGGAAAACAAGAGAAATTCTCTATTGGTCATTAATGAGCCAAGTAGTGTGACATCTAGCATTAAAATTTTGGTAAGCTATTTTGTATTAAGAATTCCCCTCAGCTACAGATGCACCCCAGAAGACATTGCACTATGTGAGCTTGAAATGTCTAGCTTCATTTGCCAACATCATCTCTGCAAATGATTTTAAAACAGAATAAAGCCTTGGGAGTTGATGCCATAGACTTAGTGTTTGATATCTCTAATAATCTATGGCTGGTGAGTGTCAGCATCACTGATACACAGAATTGATATGAGCAAAGATAAGAATACAGGAGAACTAAAGAAAGTCAAGTCATGAATGGTCTTACCATTTAACAAAAGAATTTAGGTGGCTCCCCCTTAGCAGTGGCAAATCAAAGCATTCCTTCACCCAGATGTGGACTTCTCCAGTTGTAGGAAGCTTTTTGCCTGCGATTAGACAAAGAGAACAAAATATGTTGCCATTTCTTTTTGGAAAAGATATCACCTTGCATATAGGACAGCACAAGGAAGCAAGCTAATGCTTGAAGGTATTGATTAAGTTAAAGATACTCAACTTCTTAGCCTTACTATCCTGAGGTCAGATAGCTCCATAAAGACTGGAGCTAATGGCAACAGATAGGTGCTCAGAGAGGGCGAGTCACTCTTGTTTAAGGATGTGGCTCTGGTTGGTTGACCATACTCTAGAGGTTAAAAGGCCACACAATCAAGAAGAATGTGTGGACAGGGAAGGTGGATCTTGGATGAGTTGGGAGAGGTGTGAATGTCATCCAAACACTCTGCATAAAATTCTGTGAGAACTAATAAAAAATGAGCAAAACAATTCTGGAGAGTGAAAACATTCAAGTTGATTCATCTTTATTATTATTATTTTTAAGTATAGATGGCTTTTTTCTTGTTCAACCTGTGCCTACACCAGCCATTAATCCTCTCCTCAGCAGTTTCACAGCCTGGCTATTGAGTCTGAAGCTCCTAACTTCAACAACATTTCTACAGCTTCTTGAGGACAATCTGCCTGGGAAATGAGTTGTTGATGGGGTCTAAAATTCTTTTCCTGCCAGCTTTTCTGGCTTGTTGAACTGGCTGGAGACCTAAGGTTCCAGTGCCCAGGCTGCAATCAGTAATTAAGGCAGAAAGCTTTATCTCCTAATGAAACTAAGTAGGGAAGATCAAGGAGTTCTAATTTCTTAGGGACTTTCTATGAGTCCTTTTAGTTCCCACCTGGGAAAGGAACACTCGTGTTTCTTCCTTATCATGACTGTCAATAGGCCTAAATTCTCACTACAGCAAAGCCCATTGACATGGTACAAATGCAAAGGTTTTTCGGAGAACAAGGGGAAGTCAAAACAAGGACTATATGCAAGGCTGGAAAGCACATGAGAAAAAAATTTCCTCATACAAATGGAAAGTAAATTGGTATTTCCTAAGCTCTGGGGTGAGGAAAGGAGGTACTTCTATTTAAAGGGTACAGTATTATTTAAAGATGGAAAGTTTTGGGACTCTGCTGTATAGCAATGTAAGTACAGCTCATATTACTGAGCTGTAGACTTAAATAGTTAAGACAGTAAGGATCATGTATTTCTTACTGTAAGAGAAATGAGATTTTTCTAGTTTGAAACTATGGTTGACTCCTTTGGTCTATACAGTTATTAACTTACTATGTTTGCTCAGTTATTCATCTTTGAGAATGTAATAGAACCCAAGTAATCTCTCAAGGGTAAAGGGATAAGTAGAGGGTTTGTGTCTGAAAACAAAGTCATTTCATACCTGGGCTTGGCTCTGGAACATACTGGAGTGCTAGCTTCATTTCACCTCTGTTTTCTGTCTCCAGGGCAACTGGTGCTGTCTGAAAGATAAAGGAACATTAGCAGGTGTAAGAAAGAGGGTTTTTTTTTTCTATCCTGTTAGTGTATATTCTGGTACAGGACCTTATCTGTCCCATCCTGAGAATGTGGATCACTTGTATGCTCTGAATTCATTTTTTCTTCTGCATCCTTTACACAATTATTTTTATAACTAAGAAAAACTGTTACATGTCTTTGAAGACCTTGCAGCATACTCAGAAAACATTCTGGCCAAAAGCAGCTTGGGAAGGGCGGGGGAGTTGTTTCATTTTACAGGTTTCAGTCTATCACTGAGGGTAAGTCAAGTGAGGAACTGTAGCAGGGCAGGAACTTCCACAGAGTGGGAACATGAAATAGAAACCATGGATGTATGCTGCTTAGCCTTTATTGTCAACTGGACATATACTTAAAGTAACCCAGAAAGAGGGGCCTTCAATTTCTGGTGGTGCATACCTTTAATCCAGCACTCTGGAGGTACAGGCAGATGGATCTCTGTGAGTTTGTGGCCAGTCTGGTCTATAGAGTGAGTTCCAGGACAGCCTTCAAAGCTACAGAGAGAAACCTTGTCTCATAAAAATAAAGAATGGCCTTGGATGTATTGTTCTATGTCTATGAGGGGTTTCTTGGTTGATGATTGAATTGATGTAGGAGGGCTAACCATCAATGATGGCACCATCTGTAGGTACATGACTTAGATTTTCTAATTATGGTCCTGGAGGAGCAAGTCAGTAAGTAAGAAGCATTTCTTCATGTTCATGGTTCTGTTTCAAGTTCTTCCTCTGTTCAAGTTCCTGCTGGAAGCTCAAGTGAACCCCAAAACAGATGAGCGAATACTGCACTAAAGTTTATTATAATAAAATTGCCAAAAGACAAAAGACAAAAAAAGGCCTAAAATCTGAAAGAAATAGCAAAGACATAACCTTCTAAAGCATTAAAAGAGAAAAAAAGATTAATAGCAAATTTTGCAATGTAAATTAAAGATGTCGGAATACAATGGAATGACATTTTAAAAGTGCTCACAAAACCATTTTCAACCTTACAACTGAAAAAAATATCCTTCAAAGAGAAATGTGAAGAGGATGGCATGAAGCAAAGAAAGCCAGTTATTGACTTGCTAGTCAATAACCAAGAAAAGTAAAAATAAAGGGAAGTCCCTGGCACAAAATGTAACTCTACAGAAAGATAAAGGAAGAGGTCTATAGCTATCCCACTCTATGTGTGTCTAATATCATCTGATTTCAGAAGCTAATTAGAGTTGGGCCTTGTGAAGACTTGGGTGGAAGACACAGTGAAAGAGTAAGGAGAAATAGGAAGTAAACATGGTTAAAACTAAATGTTTCTATAATAAAGAGTTATCATGTGGAAATTTAAATAAGACCATTAAAATGTGACTAAAGATAGCAGAAAAGATGGTAGCATGAGTAAATAAAGTATTTTTGATTTGTTCTAATTGGTCTGGACATGGCAGAAGACCTAATCTGTATTAGACATGTTTTCCTTCCTGTGCTGAGGATCAAACTCAGGGCCTTGTGTATGATTGCACTGTATCAATGAGCTGTATATCTGACCCTAGAGTTGGCATTTTAAATTCAATGATAAATATTATAAATTAAAAAAGAAACTATGGCTTCTGTATTAATTGAGGGAAAATAACTATATGATAATTGATTAATCCTCATAGAAGCAATTATAGAAATAAAATAACACAAGTATTAAGACATTAGATTAATGTCTTATCAATAATTATATTAAGTACAAATTAAAATTCAGTTAGAAGGAATATTGGAAGTTCAGTATGGTGGAGCATGTCCATAAGGCTGGCAACTAGAGTCTGAGCTGGGAGGATCATGAGTTTGAGGTTACCTTAGGCTAAAGAGCAAGTTCCAGGCAAGTGTGAGCTATATAATAAGACCTTGTCTCTAAACAAAACAAGACACCTTCTTCTCAACGGACAATCTGATCACATGCTAGGCTGAAAGTCTGTCTCAGATTTCAAAGACTGGAGCATTTAATGGCCTTGAAGACTGAAGTCAAGCATTTGCACTGAAAAGTTTAAGTTCTCCATATAATTAAAAAAATCTCTCTCTTTATCAAATGTACAAAGAAAATTCAATCCTGGATTCAAATGAATCAAGTACTATGAGGTAAATGCAGCCGGGCTTGTCCCTGTAGGCCAGATCCCACCTCGACCCACCCCACAAAGGAGGAAATGGAAACCCACCTTCCTCTTGAGAGGGTACCACTTCAGCTGTTTGCTCTGTTTGCTGTCCCAGTCCCATGTTTCCAAGTCAAGTTCCACCTCCCCCAAGAAGCTGTTGCGCTTAAATGTATCCCGATGCCAAACAGACAGGTTCAATTTCTGTGTCTTTAAAAATTGCCGTTCGATTTTATACTGCAGTGGAGAAAAGAAAATTAAAATGACTAGCATTACCTTATTCCAAAGTTATGACACAGAGATGAAAAGCCATCTGTGAGGATCCAAATTTCTCATCTGTTTGGTTTCAGGTCTCAAAAGCTTGCAAAGGCATCTTACTCTATGTGTCTGATTTCAAAGAGCTAAAACTCCATCTTTCAGAAGAGCAGATGCTTTTCCCCTCTGCTGGAAAAGGCAAACTATGGCTCAAATATCAGAGCTGAAAATAGCTTTCTAAAAACAAAAGTCAATTATTCAGCCTTTTTTGGATGCTTTTACACTAGAAACATCATCATTCGGGTTCATTCCAAAAATACAACTCAAATCAAATCTACTTCTGTTTTTCTACCTAAGGACAAGAACTTCATGTTTTTCCTTTTGTTATTTTGAGATAGTCCCTTTTAGCCAAGGTTGGCCAGAGCTTCCTATGTAGCTGAGCATAACTTTGCATTCCTTTACCTCCTCTCTGAGTACTTAGATTCAAAGAGTGCAGCACCAGCTAGATTTCAGTATTTAAAACAGTTTCAGGTTCACAGAAACATTGAGCACAAAATATAGCCCCCATATACTATCTACCCTACAAACACGTCTCCCACTATCAGACAAAAAAAAAAAAAAAAAAAAAAATTCTTAAAAGAGTAAATTTGGTTTTTCCAACCTTACATGGTTAAGTAGAAAGGATTTAGTAACCTAACAGTTTTTCATCTCAAATTAAGTCAACCCTTGATTATATATAATCATGGAAGGAATAACAGTACTTCCAATCTAAAAATAATCTCCACTTTGCTTTGTGACATGTCACTTGAAGATTATATCAGAGCTACCACTCCCTGAATTCACCATTTAAGTTAGCTGGCTTTTCCTGAGTATAGGGTTGAAGCTGCTGACCCAGAAGTAGCTAGGGGTCCTGGGATATGTCACAGTCAAATCTAATTACAAACTTGTTGCCTAAATCCAGAGGTGGCTAATTCAGCCATGGATGACTAGCAGTGTCCCATAACTGCTGCTTTCTCTCTTCCCGAAAGATTATCAAATGTCATAGTTTTTAAAAATAGAGAATGAACACATCTCTTATTTTCAATGTTAAATGATTTGGTAGATACAATAGATAGGAAAGATATTACATGGCATTGCATGTAGGGACAGAAAGAATGTAGGTATATGAGCTAGGCAAATTTCCACTTATCAGTTCATCCATCCATCTTTCCAATAAGCAGTGTGTGTGTGTGTGTGTGTGTGTGTGTGTGTGTGTGTGTGTGTGATATTCCCTACTCCAAAGCCTGTGCTGCAAATCAGTGTCTAATGTGGGCATTAACTCCTTTAATGCCTAGTCTGTGATTCCCAAAGGGGATAGATCAACATTTCCCTTTTACAAATACAAAATCTCCATTAGCCTCATTTCTCAGATCTGAGGTGCAGTGGTGTATTTGCCCAAAGATACAGTCTAGACACATCACAGGGTTATCCCTTGCCCTCCTGGAACTTAACATTGAGTATCATGGCACTGAGTGTTGGCATAGCCTATCATAGTCAAGGCTATGGAGTCAGTGGACATCAGAGGAATTCCAGTTGCTAGGAAGAAGTATTTATTTAAGAGTATCTTAAGGCACAGTTAAGAAAGGACTAGGAGGAAGTCTATCCCAGCCTGAAGGAACGGAAAATGTGGGAATGTGAGAAGATGAACGCCCGCTGAGTTACAGAAAGGAACACATTGTGACTGGAACAAAGATTATGAAAGTTGAGGCTAGAATGCTGATATTTTCAGTACAGACACCATCCTAGCAAGACATGACTAATTCAATGCCCAGGTCACCACCCAAGCTCTATCTGTGGTCTACAAATACCCGCAATATCTCGTTGTACACTGGGTTCAAGGTCTTCTTCACCACGAGTGTTTTCTTCTTGCCCATTTTGCCTTTGTCTGGTAACAGATATGTCTTTACATATCTAAAAAAAAAAGGAAAGTGATAGATATGAAAGTCAAAGAAGATATTTCCAGGCCTCCCTTTTAAAGCACATCAAAAAAACCTGGCAGCATGAATTATCCCCAAATGCTGATAAAAGCAGTAAGAAAGACATGTTGTTGTCCACGCCTTTATATTTTTAAAAGTTTAATTTTTGACATATAGATTTTATAAAGTCAGTTCAGTAGCATCCTCTCAACCCAACTTTCCAAACATCCCTTTAAACACAATCCCACACAGGCCTACCCTTCAATTGCTTTGACTTCATGATTCCCATCAGATTAACTGAGGACTAAGAGAAAATGGGTGAGCCCTCCCAGGTCTGTACTTACGGGTCTGAGCGCTGTTTTTTAACATCTGCTGCTGCTAAGTCCTTACACTGGGCCACAAAAACATGCAGCTCTTTCAGGGACTCCACGTAGTCGATTGCAAACTGAACACTCCCTTTCACTTCTAGGTTGCCAAAGTCTCCGCTGTAAACACTCATCACACTGCCACTCACCTGGATGCATCAGAAACAGGAAGTGTTCATCTGCGTCTCATTCCTGACTGCCCAGTGCAAGAATCTCAAACATAGGCCCTGGTTGGCCTTACTTTTCTAGCTTGCACATAAAAGCAGTTAATTTAATAATGGCGCAAGGGCAATTTGACATGATACATATGACTATGATTTATTTTAACTTGTTCCTAAATGGCAGACAGTAGTGCAATGCAAAGTTATTTAGATGCTAAATTCATTTCAAAACAGGGTGGTTTTATGCTAGGTGGCATTCATTGTTAGCCATGCAGAGTGTTTAAAGTGCTAAAGGAAAAGGATGTGAGAGACTCCAGGCACACAAATCACAATGACATGCCCTTTAAAATTCCATGGCACTTAAAAGGAATTTTACCATGTTTCTCATCCTCTGAATCTAGGAAACTGCTTGCTGAGCCATGAACTTTTAGACTTCAGGAAGGGCAGACTATGGATGATTGATGAAGGGAATTTAAAGCCTTCCCAAGGGCATCCATACATTACCAGAAAAAAAAATCAATTTCAATAGATTTTAAAGGGCTTCAGAAATACAAGGCTATTAAGAATTTCAGCAGTGTCATTTGTCTAGTATACCTTCTAATCTATATGACTGTGTATGGATAGTATAAAAATATTTAAATAAATACATGGCAATGTTATTTCATATGTATATTCTCATGCATATGCCACCTGCACACAGAGCTATCTCAAGTTGTGGGAAAGTTCCATATAATCACATTCACTTTCGTCAAATATGAGCAATTGTGTTTTAGCAGATTTCCATTTAAAATTGTGTTTTGGATCCTGCCAGATGGCAAAGAATTACCATCCCATTCCTCATGTGACTCAATTTAAGTTTCAGTAGGCTTATCTAAAGGACAGGCACAACTCTATGCCTGTAAGTGGTGTGTAAAGCCACATTTGACACAGGCAGAATCTTTGAAGTTGCCCCATTCGTTGCGCAGAAAAAAATTGAATGGTTCGTCTTGTTGCCAATTTAGAATCTTCAGGCATATCAAAAAGTTTAATTTATAATGTACATGAAACCCCGTTATTCTGTGAGAAAAGGAAAATCTAGCTAGCCAGAAGCTAATTACAAATTATTAAAAACAAACAAACAAAAACAGCTTTGAGTTTTAGTGCTAAGACAGGAGGCAACAGTGAGCAGGGGTACAAGGGCAAAGTTTAGAGCAGCAGAGAGAGAACATAGAGCCTTCATTTACATACAGAGGACAAGGACGTCATGCCAGAGGAGCTGCTAAGATTGGTTAATGAGCTCGGGCTCTTCTTGTATCTCCTGAGCTGGTAACTGCTCTCTGATGCTGTATCTGTTTCTCTGTCATCACTCTACAAAACACCACATCACATACACAAGTTTAAATTTGGTACAAGTCAAGGTCAGCATATTTGAAGTTTGGAAGGAGTCAAACGTTAGAATTTTGTTCAGGCAAGGATGACATCTTGTTACACAATCGATTGGTGACATTTCCCAAATGCAATGGATGCTAGGGCTAATTCCTGGGGATTTGGGATGGAGTGGAAGTCTGAGTGGGGCAGTGTTTAACTAAGAAAATATGTAGTTATCTTTTTTGACACAGTGTGGCCCTTAGGAGTGTTGGAACATAGCACTACCATGAACTTTCTCTTAATATATCCACGTTTCCTAGAGAATGTATGCATATATCATAAAATATGAGTATATGCATATATACCATAAAATAAATCATCTATGAAATCTTATCAAAGCACAAAAACCGTGTTTAATTCGTTCCATTGTTACTATTTTAGCTTTCTTAAAAATATTTTTTTAACTTGAGATACTATTAAACTAGGAACAATAAAACTAGTCTGACCCATTTCAATTAAAGTTGATATTTTTGTATGTAAAATACCCCTTATGTGACTCTATAGTGTTACTGTACTTAACCTTTTGTTGCTTTAGGAAAGTATGTTAAGCTATCCAGTTACTAGATTTCAACATATTTCTTTAAAAGTTAAAAAAATAATAGGATATTTATTTTAAATATGTCCCAGGGAACATCTACATGGGACAAGGAAGAAAAACAGCAATGACAAATTCACTTGTATTTATACTTAAAAGTTTCTTGGATGTTTTCACACAATGTTTACTTGGGAATTGCAAGACATATGGAGCAGTACAGTGGCTCCTGGGTTATGGAAGAGTAGTTAGTTCATGCCAGCATATTCCAGGACCATGCAATTACACATCAGCATCATGGATACCAATTATAATGCAGATTAATGAAGGAGTTAAAGAAAAAAATTAATGACACATGGAAAAGAAAACAATCTTGTCTCAGGATTTCAAAAATTCCACACCTTTTAAATATTTCTGATGTTACATTCCCTTCCCATACACTAAACAACCCATTCCCCTCTCTTAGAACACTTATATATTCTATCTAGCATATTGGATCATTATTAAATTATTGGGAGGATGGGCTGGAAGATGCTGACCTGAAACAGCATTTTTTCACATAGCTAGTGCTCAACAAATGTAACTAAGCTTCAAAGGGACAGCTGACAAGAGAGCAAAGGCTGATTTCATCTCTGAATCCTTTAATAGCCAGTTCAATCCTACATGCTTTCAAAGGTAAAGTGATACAGTTTAATTCTAGCATCTCTGATACACAAAACCAACTGTCCTGGTAAGGGCTGATTCAGCAGGTTAAAAAAAAACTGATATAGTTGCCCTCTCAAATTATGTATTTCTTTCCTATGATCACCCAAAACCAGAGCAGATCTCCAAAGGTTTAAAATCACAGAAATCATGTGGAGTTTATGCTGTCTGGCTTCCAGGTAATGATTTATGCCCCCACCCCAAAATGAGTGAGTTTTCCCCCAAACTGTAGTGTGTGGCTCTTCAACAGCTGCTAGGACCAAATATTTGCAGGTGCAGTTCACCCCAAAGTCCCTAATAGACAGAAGGACACATGGGATGGAAGTAGGGTGTTATTTACATCTCACTCAGAATTTTGCTCACATCTTGTCTTCTAAGAGAATTGGCTTGAATATAAAGCCTTTCACTTCCCCTTCAGAAACCAGGACAAAACCTAGAATCACAGATGCTAACCTTTACCACATGCTAAATGTGTTCCAGGCAGGTATCATGTATTTTTCTCTCCATTCGCTCCCTCAGTCTGAAAAGCCTCACAGAGTAGATACTCAAAAACCAGACTCACTGAAACCAAATAATGTATTTGTTCCTGGTAATAATACAACAATTTAGCTTTATAGCCAGAACTGGGAATATCTTAACAGACACCAAGCTCCTAATAATGTGAGACCAAGAAGAAACTGGGATCTTAAGTCAAAAGACCTCAGGCTCAGGCAGATCTACTTTGTAGTAGGAACTAGGTATTGGGAAATGAACTGGAACAGTAAGTGCCTGGTACACACTCTGAACTTGACCTGTAGGTCATAGCCACACTCCTGTATAGTGTGGCATAATGGTTACTGTATAGGAGTCAGATCTGGGTACCAGTCCACAATCTGGCTGTGTGGTAATATTTTAACTCCATAGGCTTTATTTTTTCACCTGTAATATTTGGGGATAATGGTGATGCCTGCCTCCCATGGTCTTTGAAGAATTAGATAAAATAATATATGTGAAACCTGTGGAATCTGGTATATCCCCTTGAAAGTTTCTATCATTACTACCATATTATTTTAACAAGTGCTTTGAAAGTAGTCATACATCCTAGACCAAGCTCTTACCAACCCACTTTTAGCTACAGATGCATAATGAATTTATGCAACATATTTCTCCCCAGATTTCTTATTTTGCACATACTTTGAAACAAAAGTTTCACCTTTCCAAATCTAGGCAATCTGACTCCCCTGGCCAAAATAACTACTGTTTGAGTGAAATGAGACATGTCTTGCCCAGTTCCTGGATCAAAAACACTGCTTCCATTGACTTGGGAGGCAAGGGCCAGCCCCACTGACTTCCTTGGTCTAGGCTATAGTTGAGTACAGACAGCCGGATGGCAAAGTGAAACCAGCTACTGAGCTCCATTTTCCCAAAGGTTGAAAACATGAACTTGCCTCATCTTGAAGAAATGCTGGAACAGACTTGCTCATCCTTTTGAGTTTGTCAGGGTGGGAAAACTGATTATCAGGCAGTGAAGGCGCTGTGGAAACTAAAGAGCAGCATCCTGATTTCAAAATTATTCACAACTACCAAACATTAAGCACAAGTTGAAAGCACACTTTTCTTTCATTTATGAGTGCTGTTTTGTATAAAGGTTAAAGGTGTGATAGTTAGCATGCATGGCATCATGAGGTAAGTGGCATGCAGTTTGTGTAAGTCATATACAGAGAGCACTAAAAGGGAGTTGAACCAGATACCAAATGAAAACTGGAAAAAGAAACCCACTAGTTCTTATTCAACTCTGTCTGAGTTATATTATTTACCAGCCATGGAGCCTCAGGTCTATAACCCCAGATACAAAAGAAGCTGAGACAAGAGGACTGCTGGAAGTTTGAAGCCATCCTGGGCTACGTAATGAGTTCCAGACCAGTCTAGGATATAAAATGAGACCATGGTCTTAAAAAGACCTCTGCTTGTCAATGTGAATTGGTTTAGCTTATTTTTTTCTAAGTCAGAGCTTTGAACCTTAAGTGCTGTAATGTATTGGTTCATCTCCCCTCCCCCACCAACCAGATTCATTACATTTACAACATGCTGCAGGCTGAAAAATTATTTCGTTTGGACAGGAAGGATTTTAGGATTTTTGTTCACAATATAACAGTAAGGATCCTTGGCTATAAAATGTCTAAAACCAGGTTTGTTTATTTAGTGATTATGAAAAAATTCCTGATCTGATATGTGTGTGTGTGTGTGTGTGTGTGTGTGTGTGTGACACATATGTGATACTATTCATCTGATGGTGGTCCTCAGTCAGAATTATAAGAAACTATAATTTTTTTTTTAAAAAAAAGTGTTTTAGCCAAGTGTGGTGGTGCTTGCCTTTAATCCCAGTTCTATGGATTTGGATACAAATTGATTTCTGTGAATTCAAGGCCAGTCTGATCTACATGGCAAGTCCCAGGCCAGCCAGGGCTACATAAAGAGAAAGCTTGTATCAAAAAAAGAAAGAAAGAAAGAAAGAAAGAAAGAAAGAAAGAAAGAAATCATTTAAAAATATATTTGGATAACATTTGGTTCAAAGAATTTTCAGCATACCAAGGCCTGGTTTAAACACTTCAAGTTAATATACTCTAAATGGCTGAGAAAGGTAGCACATGATTTCTTTCTGATACAATAAGTATATGCAAAGAAGGCTTGATTCCTAATTCGCATATCCCTAGTCAGAAAACTATTTTCTTCTTTTGTACATGAATCACAATGTAAGCTTTTATTATGGTGAGCAATTGCTCTTCCAATGAGAGAGTTTATATTTCAAGGTACTTTACACTGCCTGGTATACACTAGGGGCAGTGTAACTATTTTTTAAAACACAATATTTCTAATACATCATCTTCAAATTATGTCTTCAACACAATACAAATATATTAATTTGGTTTTATTCTTAAAATTTCCATTAGGAAATAGATATAAATCAAAATTTATTTTCCCCATAAAGAAGGCACAAATTCAGCCTTAAACAAATTAGCTAATCTCATCTTTATTTGAAACAAATCTAATGGAGGAAAAAACAAAATTGAGCTACATATAATAAATTTATGCTAAGTCTTTATCAGTTCTTACCTAGTCTGAGGCTCACAAAGGTAAATACACACACAAAATCCATTCAGTGTCTCATTAGAATAACCTCTTTATCATCTCCATGGAATTCAATAAGTATGTATGTGAATGTGCATATGTGTGCGTTTGTGTGTCTACAACTACATTCGTGTATCGTGTGTGTGTGTGTGTGTGTGTGTGTGTGTCTGTGTGTGTGTCTGTGTGTGTGTATGTGTACTTTTGGGTAAGTTACAGTGGAAACAACTCAAGATTAGGTCATGTCCTATGTATGTTTTAATAAGATTATAAAAGTCATCATTGTAACAAAGCATATTGTTGGGTGATGTAAATAGGTCAAATTCAATTACACCCATTACTCAAATGTGATCAGTTTCATATTTATGAGCTTCAGTTATTTAATCATCCATTTCATTTTGTCTTATGGTAAGAATGTTATTTACTAATGAAAAGACAAGAACCAATTTCTTAAAATTGCTAAAGAAATTAATTTACCTATAATAACAGCACATAATTGGTCTATTAGCCTATGAGTGGAATCAGAGCTATAGATGCGTATGTCTGTCTGTTTTGTTTTCATGCCTCAAACAAAAGGTTAAACAAACATAGCAACATAAAATCAGATGCCTAAACTTCAGCATATCCCAGTTCAAAGGCAACAGGAAAAGTCTCTATCTATGACCATCTTTGGGGCAGCAGCAGCTTGTTTTGTCTGCAGACAGAGCAGCATACTCACAGAGCCAGGCCTGAACTGCTTTCTTTCCTAGGCAGCTCTTAAGAATTTGTCAAGTCATGTGCCAAAGCTCAGGGCCTTCATCACTGGCAGGAAGACTTCAGGAGCAGTCTCAGGTTTCAAGCTAGATGTTAGTGACTCCCAGAATCAGCACATTGTATCTCCATCTACTGACTCCTTCACTTAGCTGCTCTCCTCAGGAGGTCCATTAGCTTATGCAAAGGCTGTTGGGTGCATTATTATACTAACACTATGGACAGAAAGCGGTCCTGCTTGGGTAGCATTTGCTTCATACCTCAGTGTCTACATTTATGAAAGAGGGAAGCTAACAATCATGCTTTATCAGGCCACAGAGAACCACTATAAATATATATTTTGCCCTTAAGACAGTGGTCTTGCCTACATAGACACTGACAATGGGAACAAACATTATCTTTGTCTTCTAGTGGATATAAATTAGTTGATACATTTATTTTGTTTAGATTCAAATGTTTACCATTTTTAGATAGAATATTCACTGTTCAAGACAATTTTGAATCTCATAATTTAAATGCTGGACACTAGAAATTTTACTTTTATAGATATGTGAACTGTGCTTAATAAGCCCTTATCAGAATGAAATAGTTTGGGTTTTTGTTTTGTTTTGTTTTTTGTTTGTTTGTTTGTTTTTTGTTTTGTTTTTGGCAAGCTTCAGAAATAAGGTAATAATAAGTGTGATATTAATGGATTAGTTCATTAGTGCACTAAAGGTTATATAGAATGAAACACTTAGTCACTTATGAAAAATGCCCTGCTACTCACTTCCTGGTATACATTCATTTGTATCTGGCTCCTGGTCTGCTTTTTCATCTAGCCAGAAGAGTAACATTGAGAATAAATACCATTTCAATTAAGTATTAAACAGACATGAAAGCAAAACTCAAATGCTAGTTTTACAGGTGAAACTGAAGAATTCATCTGACAGGTTTTCAGTTTGTCATGTCCCAGTCTGATCCTTCACAAGCTCTTTAAGGTCTCCTGTTCAATTAGAACTCTAAGAGGCAGCTTGGGGACCCGAGTTCTCCTTCCTGTAAGTCACTCAACCACAGCATGACCATAGAAGGGACAACTGGGACAGGAGCATCTGAGTTGACACACCCTACTCTCTCAATGACTGACAACTCTACATGACTGCAGAAAGGTAACCTTACTTCTCTGAGCTTTTTTCTTAAATCTTCAAAATAAAGACTAAAATCATTTTCTCATTTGTTTTGACGAAGTACTTGTAAATATAAAACAAGGAAACTATACATAAAAGTGGAACATTTTGCATAGCTTAAGCACACATTTTTATGATTATAGCAAAAGCAGCTTACAGAAATTAAGGGCTGTCGGCAAATATAAATCATTCATTTGCTCAAGTACAGAACTGCAAGAATCAGACTTGTCTCTGCCCTTCCCCCACCAAGGCTCTGTTTCAGTTAATTTCATAACAAAAGTAATACAGGCCCATTGACATGCTTCAAGAGCTCCTGCCTCCTTAATATTTGAAATCAATTCATCTCACCCTCATTCCATATTCATTTATGTAATCACAGGCAGGTTTTCCAACCCTAGTCCTGGGGCCCTTTCCTTTGAAATTAAGACTATCAGTTGAGCCATAAAGATCTAACTGCTGAGATGTGAGAATCAAATACAAGAACAATTTAACTCAGAATCCCGCTCTCCTCTTTCTGCCTTAAGAGACTTCTAAAAGTCAGAGTAACACCAGTTAGCCCATACCCACAGAAATATAATTTCCTATTTATAGAAACTCGTGCTTCCCTGCTGTCTCTGATGAGATCCTCGTATTATCACCAGCAGAAGCCTTAAAAATATAGAACGCTTTTACAACTTAGGCACTATCTGATATATAATGGCAAATGATGTTCTTCTGTTTACCCCACAACTGCATCCCAGTGACTGCCCAAATTACCCAGAACTTAATACATAAATAGACATGCAAATGCATAAAGGTATTTACCATCTTCAGCACTACGTACTAATTCTTCCGGCAGATTATCTACTTTTGCTTGATCTGTTCAGGAAAAATTAACAAATGGTTAATGTGGCCGACCCTTGTCGAGAGGAGAACAATGAGATTGTCCCTGGAAGCTCCCCGGAGTTGGGAGTTGGAAGCAATTAGTCAAGAATGCCGTGAGGGGCAAGATTGCCAAGATGTCTTCCCCCAAATACTTTCTCTTTAGATTAGCTACTTGAGTCAGTGTCTTAGCAGGCGATTCCATTTCAGCCCGATGCAGCTCACATCAGCAAACGGCTATGCAGTGACTCCCATGGGTTAGAGGGTTATAGCTCAGAGCAAGCAATCCGCTGACCGTAGGGAAAAAAAGCTCAGGGCTGAAGCAGCCTCTCTATCCTACTGCGGAGGGTAAGACTCTGGCCATGACTAACACCTTACTAAACCTATGGTCATTAACAAATATTTGTGTACGTGCATCATCGTTTGCATATGCCTCTGGGAGGCTTGCTTGGGAAGCCAACTGAAGAGATGGAACCAGGGACCAGCTGCTAAGTGGAATCTTGGCAAGCTAGTGTGAGAGTGGGTATCGGTATTTGGGAGAGTGCAGGGATACTGTCAGCTGGCTTTTTTTTTTTTTTTTTTTTAACCCCACACATTCCTGAGGACTTTAAAGCTGTACCATGGAAATAACCCTATACTTCTCAGACAAGAGGGTTTTTTGTTTTGTTTATTAAACAGGACAATTGTTGCCTTTTTTCTTCTTTTTCCCTGGGTGCCTATCACCAGCATAAGGAATGACAATCAGAGCTGTTCAACAAGAGACTAGACTTGCCTTTTCTGGAGGCATTCAGGCAGATCTGGGGGTTGGCCACCTGTTGAGGAGGCTTTAGAGGGAATTCTGCCACTGAGAGAGTTTGAAATGAGTGACCTTTCAGGGTCCCTTCCAACCCTGAAATTCCAAGATCCTTGGAAGGGTTACAGCTGCAATCTGAATTGGGAATATTGTCTTCCATGACATGGGAATCTGGGAATTTCATGTATTGTTTTGGGAAAGGAGCTCTCTTCCCTTTCTTTCTGTTTAAACCCTGGTTTTTGTTTAAAATCTTAAATTGGGAATACCCAAAATGTATTCTAAGCTCAACAATGTCAGCAATCATTTGAGCTTGGCAGTGGTTGACTTCTATTTAATACATTTTCTCATGGCCATTTGCAACCCCAGAACAGTTTATAGCTTCAAAATAGTAGAACAAAACTCCAGAGGCCATGGCTTATAAATCCACTGGTCTGGCACATAAGTCCCAATGTACATTCTGCTACCTCTGAAGACTTGCCCTCTTCATCACCAGCCTATGTGAAACAGTACCTGATGTTAGTCTTTGGCCAGTGCCAAAAGAAGTGAGTGGATAGAAAAGGAGTGACAAGATAGAAAGAAAAATTCTTGAAGTCAAGGATTAATTCAAATTCACACCATGGGAAAATCTACTAGGCACCCAACACTGTTGTTATATGTAATATGGTACTGTTTACAGTAGTCTATTTTGAACCTCAGATCTACTATGTAATACTAAGCAAGGTATTTAACCTCTTAAACTCCATTATCCTCAGTTATAATATGGAGATAACAATTCACCTCTCATATGCTAACTACTAGCACAAATTTACTAGCATTATTAGCTGCCACAATTATTTTAAACTGACTTGACTTGTATTTTTATTGAAACTTGTTTGTGTGTATGCATATTCACATATGAATATGTGCACATGTTTGTAGAGGCCAGAGGTTGAGATGGGTATTTTCCTCTATCAATCTCCACTTTATGTATTGAGGCATGGTCTTTCACTGAACCTGGAGCTTGCTGATTTGTCTAATCTAGTGAGCTTGCTCTGGGGATTATTTACCTCTGCCTATCCATGGCTGGGATTACAGACATGTTGCCATTCCCACCCTGCTTTTCTATAGGTCCTGGAAATATGAACTATAGCACTCATGCTTGTGCCTCAAGTACTTTATTGACTAAGCCTTCTCCCCAGCCCTGTGTATTTTTAAGTACTCAAACTGAGATGTAACAATCCAAAGAAATCTAGTTTTCTCATAATTAAATACCATGGGTTATTTTAAAAAGCAAAGTTTCAGACACTTAAGGGCAAGCCATTTGAGCACACTTGGGAAAGCATAGTCTAGTCTCATCTGGTGACACCTGCACTGGGTAGTGACACCTGTACTGGGGGCTCTGGTGCGTGCCCGCATGCAGTGAGGCCACAGAAGAGCACACAAGCATGTTTAAGCTTAGGTGAGACATGAACAGTGAGGCAAACTTTATTCTCACTTGATGAATCTGATGAAATGTCTTCTAGACTTTTGGAAGGCATTTTCCTAGCAGCACTCCTTTCCAAAGTTCTCAAAACAGGGCTGTGTTCTTCTTCTGAACCTGTTACAAGACAAAACCGATGAATGCTGCACACAACAAAAGCAAAAAACTCCTCTGTCACCATAGGACACTGAAACTACAGGTTAAAGAAAGAAATTATACACCAAGGCTCCCCTACTTCACAAAAGAAATTAAAATATCTCTACTACCAATGGGCTCCTCAAAAATGCTTTTCCTGATTATTTGAGAGCATAAACCAACAGAACTGAGGTTACCACGTTAAAACAAAAGTGTTGAGTTATTCACACCTCTATTTTAGGCACATAATTTACTGAGCCACAGTTTGAATCTTCACACTTAACATTCTAGTTTTTGAAGACAGACATGAAATGATTTGGGGACATTAAAAAATGTTAGCAGAAAACCACAGAAGGCAGAAGTCAGATGTTTAACATCTGTGTATGGTTGAGCACTCAGATGGGTGAGTTCTTCAGACCAATAGGATCAGGCTTTCAAGATTTCAAGACTTCAAGATTGAGGAAATTGTGTGCTAAAAAAGAACACAATCAACTTTCTAATTAACTAAAGCATTTTAAGGGGTAAAGAGGATTTCATCATTTTACCAATGCATTTAGATCTTTACATTATATTTTCATTATATATAAAGACTTTTTATAATTAGTATATGTAATGTATTGTGTTATATTTATGTATTATTATGCACACATTTACAACTAAGAGAAAAAACAAAGAGGGCATTATGTAGTAACAACAGTTCTTAAATACATCTAAACTGTCCTTAATGTAAACACTGAAGACTCCATCATGGATAAGTTCTGAGTATTTTGATGACTAGAAAAATCACAATCATACAGACTTCAAAAATATGAGCTGAATCAGCAAATGATCCAATCAATCAATCAATCAATCAATCAATCAGGCACTCAATCAGTGAGCCACTTCTCTAGGCACTAATTTTCTGAAATGCATTCCAGATCTGCCCAATGTACCTAATATTCATCCTTCAGCAAATTAAATTCAGGTTGCTTTTTGTTCAGAGGACACAATTACCCAGTATTTCCAGAAGTATGTGACTGTGACACAGTCCCTGTCACTCCCAGGAACACATTAAAGTAGTAGTTGGCTAAGATCTTAGTCACAAGTACAGCATGTTGAGCTGTTCACCAAGTCTACAATACCCTTAAGTAAGTTTCTTCCCCAATGTATTCGATTACTGCCTGCCTGTTAGTTTTAAAGGCTATAAAAACCATGAGTGACTCGTAATTTTAATCATATACTCTTGGATTCTCCCTGTGATCAATACTGTTTCTTACTCAGATAGGTAATCACTGTTCAGTCAGTAAGATGTTAGTTTACTGCAAAAAATGGTTACATGCATTACACAAAAGTTTCTATGCTATGTGCAAATTTACAAATCCCCTACAGGCCAGTTTACCTTCCAAACTCAAAGGGTGGTTTAGTAAGAGAATACCTCAATGGAGTTAGTGGGATGGTTTCATTCTTGTGTATGTTTTGTTTTAGAAAATGTATCATTTTTCTTGTTTACTTTTTTGATTAGCAAGATGTATTAAAAGAGCTTAAGCTTGATTGATTGGAATCCCATATGGATCCTTAGGTCAGTGGTCAAGAAAAGAAGCCATCGCTACTTGCCAAAGAACTCATGCCTCACCAGCCAATCACTTGATCAAGCTCATCTACTTCCACTGACACTGTCGAACCAGAAAGAATATGATCAACTGCAGCTAAACAGCTTTGGTTAAAATGTTCCAGCCAGAGAGCATCCTCCTCAGCTTCCTTGCTCTAATCAGGTAACTTCACATTCCAATTTGCTCTGGGGTTTTTCTGCCAAAATGCCCAAGAGTTGATCAATACCAAGACAAACCCGATGATATGGGCTTGGTTAAAAGCAGAACCCTCAGTATGCTCTAATGAATGTAGCCATTGAATAAGAGCCTTCACAATTTAGCCAAGGCAGCAGGGCCAGGTGATGCCCTTAGGTGGGATCAGGTGAGTTCATGGGACAGAAAACATATTTGAGAGGGGGAAGATGATTTTTCAGATAAATGGAAAGAGAGAGGGAAGACATATGGGGTGGAACACCCGTAACACAAAGCTATCTGAGAAAAGGGAAGTTTATTTGGTCCTCAGGACCAAAAGGAAGTTGCATTTGGTCCTCAATGTTAGATGCACCTATGCTAAATCACTGGCCCTAAATGGTGAGTTTGTGTCCATCTGTGTGGTGCTTTCTCAATGTGACTCTTACTAAGACTAAGTGAGGAGTGTCAGCTAAGAAATTCTAATTATTTCCAAGAAAACAACTGGTGTTAACCCCCTAAAACGTTATTTTAAAATATTGTTGGAATCTAAAAGTTTTATAAATTCTTGTAAGAAAGCTCTTTTTATACAAATCATTCAAATAAAGACTATAGATCAAATGGCTTTTTCTAATTAAAAAAGAGTTTAAGAGAATAAAGATCAAACAAACAAAAAAGAATATCATTATGGGGATATTAAATTGATCTCAATCGTTAAAAAGTCATCCTTTACATATGTATAGAGTAAAAATACCAAAACACTCACTGGAAGTATTTCTCCAGCTCTCCCCATTGGAACTGCTGTTCCCATCTGAGAACTCAGATTCAGAGCTTGCTTCTAGTCTTTGCTCTTTCTTTTGTCTCTTATATGGTGTTGCTAGTACTGATTCAACTCTACTAATTTTTGTAGGTTTTCCTATTGTTTCTAGGAGAGCTGTGTATTGCTTATTTCTGGACACAACATCTTCTTTAGGAGCTTCTTCAAAGCTGGGTTCCTGGGGAGCCCATGTTCCTCTTGCAATAGCCCCTTTTCTACCTCTGTCCTCTACAGATTGTACACTTTCAATGATCCCTGTTTTATAGTCTTCATAAAGTTCTGAGCTTTCAGGGGGCCCACACCCACTTGTGTAACCCTGAACAGCTATTGATAAATCAGTCACAGCTTCATCTCCTCCTACTAGTTTATCACACTGGTTAACTTGAGATTCCAAACCATTACTCTTAGCTTTCATTTTAGAGGTTCCTGTGGCATCCAGATAAAGATGGGACATTTCCCCCAAAAACCTGGCTTGTTCTGCGTGTGAAGGCTGCTGCTTCCTAGTATCTTCTTTAGCTGACAGCTGGGGCAGACAAGGCCCTTCAGACACCTCTTTTAGAAGTTTCTCAAAACCAGTATCAAAGTAACTCTCAGTTACTGATGCAGCCTCAGCTTTCTCTACAGTTTCTTGTATTTCTTTAGGATGGAATTCAGAAGCAAGTTGCTGGGACACCTCACAACCACCTGTTACAGCTGATGGAGAAATAGTTTCTGTATCCTTCTCATCTTTTGAAGGGGAAGTTTCTAGTGTCTCCTTCCACAGTTTTTCCAAGCCAGCCCTAAATTCAAGGCTCTCTAACTTGGGTGGAATAACCGTTTCCCTCACCATCTCTGCCACTTCCTGAAGTAGCTCTTGGCTACTCTGAGTTACAGTTGAAGCAGGTGACCTAATGAGATGTTCTAATGGTGACATTCCAGCAGATAAATTGGATCCACCTTCATGAGCTGTACCAGGTACTGTGTGAAAGGAATGGAAGTCCTTCTTATTTGGCACAACAGCATCTGTAGCAGGGCTCACTCTCTGAGAACTTGAGGGTCTATCTCTTTGCTCTCTCTCAGGAAGCTTGGTTTTCACTTCTCCGGCTTCTCCAAGTAACTTCCATAAAACAGAATTTATGTCAGTCATTGCTGGTTTGGAGGGAAGAACAACTTTCTCTATAACCTCTGAAATCTCCCTCTGAGAAGGCAATATGTCATCCCAGGATCCAAGATGAGTGTCCTGAGACAAAGTCATATCTGCTGGAGAACTAGAAATGCCCTCAAAAGAATGGGAAGGCTGAGCCAAAGGAGGAGACCTTTCTACAACTGCCTGAGGCACACTTTCTGTGCTAAAACGTTTAACCTTCTGCACAAGAGCTGTATCTTCTGAAGTCTCAAGACCCTGTGGAAAGGGAGCTGTTATCTCTCTCTGATTTGCTGAAGGACTGTGCTTCTGTTTGATCCACTTCTCAAATGATCCTCCATCTTTAGATGGGGAGCTGGGTCTAGCAGTTACAAGTTCCAATGGCAACTGGAAGGGAGTGAGTGAAGTTCTAGTTGCTTCATCTGCACTAGAGTTCTGTTGAGCCTTTGGGAATGTTGCTACTTCATTTAGATGCTCACTGGGGATCTTCTTGGGCCCTGTGGCCTCTTCCTCATCCTCAGACCATGTCCTATTCTCAGAAACACCTAATTGGAGTGCTTGTTGTTCATGAACTTTCTTGCCAGGAGTCTGGATTGCTGGCAACGTGCTTTCTGCCAGCAACTTCTGTAACCTGTCATTGAACGTGTCTTTAGAGACTTTAGGCAAAATGCTTGTTTTCACTATGGATTCTTGAATTTCTTGATCTGAGTCATCCTTTTTCTCTTTAATTACCGGAGCAACATAACATCCCATATTTTTTCCCACATTTTCTTTTGATGGCTCATTTTCTACCAAATGATATGTGGACCTTCTGGGTGGTTTTCGTGGAAATATGGTCTCATCTGCTGGTGCTTGGAGTGTGCACTCTGAGTTCAATTTCTCCATCTCTTTGGCTGCTGTAATATTTCCCTGTCTTAAATGCCTCCCTTCCTCTACTTCATGGATATTTTCTCTTGACTTCATGCTGTCAAACTCCTTGGATTTTTGGCTATTAAATGGCATGGACTTCTGTTTGTTTGTTGCAGTATTATTATCACCTTTATCTTTATTGTTTAGATTAGCTCCCAGGCCCCAAAACTTCCTCAAATTCTCAAACTGAGAATGACTATAGACATGTTCTGTGCTGGGTTCATCCATTCTTTCTCTTAGGGACAGAACTTTAAAGTTGGCATTTAATTTGTCAATTACAAATCTGTCTTTCTCCAAAGAAGAGTGTATTTCATTGCCAGTAGTTTGAAGCAGAGGCACTTTATTTGATTGGTCAGCTGAAGAATGGTTTTTGAATGGACCTGACATTGGGGGTCTGGTTGTTTTAGGTTCTTTTGAGGAATAAAAACTGGAGAGATGGGGTGTTTGGTTATCCTCATCAAAGAGTGCTTGTTTAGCAGTGACTTGACCATAGTCACTCTGGCCTGGAGATAAACTTCCCATGAACATGACCTGTGACTTCACAGACTTGGATGCTTTAGCAGAAGATGGCCCCTGGCTGCATGAAGAGGTGAGTTCTTTTGTCTTTATCTTAGCATCAGCCTTTTCTCCTTCCCAAAAGGATATTCTGTCACTCACTCGCTTGTATTTCTCTCTCAGCACTTGGCTTTTGGGACCCTCACCAGCTTCTTTTTGGCCTTCAGGCTTTCCCCAAGAAGATCCACTGTCAGCAGTACCCAGTGGCAGCCCACTATTCTCTGGTCTTAGAGACGCTTTTAGGATGGAAGTATTTCTGGTTTTGATCTTCCCCTCCACATCAGCTTTCAAATTATGTTCTAGAACCATTACTGAAGAGTCAACATTCACGCATGTGCTCCCTTTACTTTTCTGGGGCACATGAAACTTGGGTTCTTCTTTACTGCTAGTATGCTTAGAGTTCCATGGAACTTGTGGCTCTACTTCAGATCTTTTCAGAGAACTGAGGAGGTAGCTACTGTTTGGAGTGACTGTCCCACATCCTCCTCCTATACTCTCCGAACCTTGGCTACAATCCATACTTCCAAGCCTTTGACTTGGGATTCTGTAGCTTTCAAATGATGGCAATGTATCTGGACCCTCCTTTGAGGCATCTTGTTGGGATAAATTTGCAGTGTTATATTTGAGAAGGACATCACTGTCTTGGCAAGTTTCAGAAAGTTGCATATCTCCTTCTTGGAATGTCGAATCAGACCTCCCAGGCTTCAATTTAATTTTAGAAGATGGTAGGACCTTTGAGTCATCTTCTTTTAGACAGGTGTTGTCTGCCATCAGGGCAGAAATAATCTGTGGCTTTGAGTCTGTTTGCTGTCTGACATCTATCCCATGGAGATTCTGGAGGGATGACATACCATCCTCTGAATGAGAACTTCGGTTAAACCAGTCTAGCACTTTAGATATGGAATCATCAGTTGTCTTCCTTATCTCAGTAGCACATGGACCTGAGTGCCAGGATGTCTGAGCATTGAAAGCCATGAGAAGGGGCTTACCTTGCTGATGGTCTCTAAAACTGTGATCTGATGTCTGAGATGGCTCGGGTTTGACACAAGGGGTCAGTTCATCTGCAACATAGAAATGCTTTTCTAAGTAAGATAACACTTATAAGACCATTATTCAGTCATTTATATTCTCATTGAAAATGAGCACTTTCTACAATATCAGCTAGTTATACCACTATATTTCAGGGAGTTTGGTATAAGATCATTTAATTGATTATCCTGTTGAAAGAGGTATGAAATGGGAAAGGAAGGCAGATATAGATCCCTCAGAGTACTGTGGAGAAGTACTTGGGAAATGTCTTTGGAGTCCATGGGTTATGTTTTTAAAATCACATGAGTTTTACATTCTGTTCCATATTACATTTTAAGGATTAATCTTCTCCAACTTCCAAATATTTACATAGAACTGAAAATCCAGGAAGGTATGTCATATTGACTTGATGACTTTATTCATCCCATAGGAAATTGTCATTTACTACAGAGGTGGCTTTGAGGAGCTCAAACTGAAGTTATTTCAGGAGTTAGAAAAACAACTTTCAAGTAAGGCTAAACAACAAATTCTTTCCAGAACACTTGGGTAAGACAAGGAGAAGATTCACATTCCTGGTCCTGACTCCTGATATATTAAATCAGAATCTCAGAAGCCAGGGCCCAAGAATCATGACAAACAGCTGTCCTGGTGATGGGTCTGCCTGCTGGAGTTTCAGGACTCTAATGAGAACAGCCTCCTCCATATTTCCCATTTTCATTTTGCTATTTGTAAGTCAGAAGTTACTTCTGTAAGCCAAGTCAATTGAACTGGTTCCTTTTGTTAGCTAACTAACAGCTAGGGCTCTAAAGAAGGGTGTTTGCATTCTTTATGAGCCTGAGTCACACGGTACACAGTATGTCCATCTAAAGGAACACAGGCATTTATAAGAACTCATTAGCATTTACTTAAGATAGTAGTGAAGACTCAGACACTCTGATACTTGTTTTAAAATGCTAAACTACACAGTGCATGGAGAGGGGTGTTCCTAATACAAGACGCTCTAAATTTTTATGAAGTCAGCCACATTTTCAGACCCAATATCATATCAATTTATAAAAACAGATCCCATGTCAGTTTATTAAATGCTTAATTTTAAACAGCTCTGACTAAAAGTAAAAACGTAAGAGATTTGCATAATACTGATACACAGTGGGTATCAGCTTCCTTACTGAAGTACATACTGTGTCACTGAATATTTGTCAATAATTGTGAAAGTCTTAAAAATTGTGTGTCTGTTAACAGACTAACAATGAGGGAAATGTTGGTGATAAACTCATGCTAAAAACAAACAAACAAAAATGTCTTGGATGTAGGGGTTAAAGATGGCTCAGTGGTTAAGAGCACTGGTTGTTCTTCCAGAGAACCTAGGTTGAATTCACAGTACACACATAGTGGTCCCAAGCCATCTGTAACTCCAGGTCAGGGATTTGTCCCCTTCTTATGGCCTGCGCACCCTGGTACACGACATGGAAGCAGGTAAAACACTCATATACATAAAAAATTGAAAGTAAATCTTAAAAATAGAAGTCAGGGTATTATAAATAAAAGTGTGTATATGGGGTCAGAACTAAATAAATTCTAGTGTGCTTGTATAGAGTAAATATATCATTATTCATCTAATGTAAGGTTGAGAACCACTGGTTTAAGTAAATGCCTCATGATTACATGCTAAGGTTTGATCCACCATTAGTAATTTCTTTCCATATGGATTTTCTCATTGCTTGAAGAAACACTTGTTATTTTCTTAAAAGAAGTTCCATTATATTCAAATAATCTAAACATGCAAAGAGAAAGAAGCCTTGTCCCCTAAAAAGTACCAAACTGTAGGGCTAAGTTAACATACTTCAGAATTAACCTAACAGAAAGAGAAAGAGGTAAAAGAGTTAGAAACTTGATTATTGCTGTTTTAAAATCTTATGACTTTAAAAAATTATCTTAGGATGGGATGAAGACTTATTTAAGATGGGAGAAAGTACACAACAGTATATTTCCAATTTATGTTTTTCAAGTTCCAGGAATGATGTAATCACCTAGAAGGTACATGAGAAAATAGTTTTAGGGACACCCCTCCTCACAAGTGTTCAAAGTCTGTTTTATCAGTCTTACATTAGGTGAATAATGATATATTTACTCTATACAAACACACTAGAATTTATTTAGTTCTTACCTTCTATACACACTTTTACTTAACTCAAAACATTGTCATTTATACAAGCGATTAATTTGTTTTGGTCTTTTTGAGGCAGGGTGTCTATTATGTAGCTCTAGATGTCTTGGAACTCTTTATGTAGATCAGGCTGACCCCAGACTCATAGATATCCTCCTGCCTCAGCATTCTGAGTACTAGGACTAAAGTCCTGAGCCACCATGCCTGGCTGATTTCATTATTATTATTATTATTATTATTATTATTATTATTATTATTATTATTCCTATTATTCCCTAAGATCAAATGCAAAGAAACTCAAATAAGCTAGACACTGAACTAGTCTGGTTCTTTTAGCAATGGTGATGATTTAGTCACATCAATGATCCACAGCAGTTACTTGAATTGTAGCTGGGATGCTTAAAGGAATTCATTGTCTTCTACAAGGATAGCTGGCCTGGTCATCTCAAGCAATGGGGTGGGTCAGCTTTTGTAACCTCTTACCCTCAGGGATTTTGGACAATTCTGATTCACCTCTTGTTAGATAGGGTGATTTATCTTGGTATTCATTGATGATAAGTGAATTCTCAACAGGCTGTGGTCTTGTGGGTAGAATGTCTGAGTGACAAGGGAGCCCATCACCTAGAGCAGTCCCAGAAGACATTGGCTGGTGTGTTTCCATTTCTGAAACACTCGAGTTTGACACTGACTGGTAAAGAGGCAAATGTTTTTTGTGGGAGGGCTTTTGGTGATCCTGAAACTCGTCTGTGCCCCCTGCATGTTCTGTTCCATTTTGCAACCTGTCAGACTCTAAAACAGTAAATTCTCCTACTTCCTGGCCAAGGGCAGGCCGAGGACTCTGAGGAAGTTTGTCCTTCACCGCAAAAAATCTCACATGCTTTAATGGCTCCAGCGAGTTCGTGGATGAGTCATCTTCTAAAGAATGTTCCTTCTCAGAAATTCTCTCATGAATGGTTAGGCCAGGTGATATGGTTTTGCTTTTTGGATCAAAGCTGTAATTTAAACGGAGTGTTTCTGAGTCCGTGCTGCTGGAACTGGAGTTGCGCTTTAGGATCCCTCTTGGTGCTCCTCTGGCATTCAGGGAATCCCTCCTTTGGCTAGGAAAAGACTGGTTGTTGTCTGTCTTTAAGTCATTTGATTTGTAGATCAATTTCCTGGCCTTGGGGATAGGAGCTTTGATTTGAGACCCATTTTCAGGTGCCGGAGACACAGGTTGCTTTGGTTTCTCAAACTTTTGACTTGAAATATCTGGGCTATATGTCTTCTCTTTTGATTCTGATGATTCACCTGAAAATTAAAACATGTTAAGTAATATATTAAGTGGAGAACAACTCTACACTTTAAAGCTTTAATCTGTATTCAGTAAACACTATGGAAACATTAAAGATAATTAAGAGAAGCCCCATAAATGCAGACCTAATGGAGAAAGCATACAGCCTCATGCATTGGTACACAGACAATTTCTACAGTAATAACATTATTCTATGACACTACAATGCTGAACACATGGCATTATACATTTGTTCAAAGCCATGGAATGTTTAACACCAGGAGTAAACCCTTGATGTCAACCATTGACTATGGATAATAAAGATGTCCCATAGTAATTCATCTGTGTGGTAGTCTGATTGTATGACTCCCACTCAGTTGAACTGTTTGGGAAGGATTAGGAGGTGTGGCCTTGTTGGAGGAGATATGTCACTGGGAGTAAGTTTTGAGGTTTCAAAAGACCACCTGTTCCCAGTTAGCTTTCTCCCTCTCTGTTCTCTGCTTTCCAATAAGGTATACTCTCTCAGCTAACTGTTCTAGCACCATGCCTGATGCCATATTCCCACCATGATGATCATGGGTTCACCCTTTGAAACTGTAAGCAAGCCCCCAAATTTAATATAAATTTCTTTTATAAGTTGCCTCAGTCATGGTGTCTCTTCACATCAATAGGAAAGTAACCATACTTTATAGTTACAAAAATATAACACTATGATGGCAGATGCTAATCATGACAGAGGCTACATGTTGTTTGTGTATTATAAAGTGTACCCAAGGGGAAACATATTAAGACAGAATAATTGAAGGCCCTGGAACATTGTCCAACTATTTCTCATCCTAGACTGACTTTTAGTGAGTGACAGCTTCATACAGTTGCATTTGAAGGGATAGAATTATCTAGCACTTCCATAAGTGACAAACGTAAATAAATCAAACCACATACTTGATCAAATACTTCTGAGCAGCAAGCCTTATTGTTTCTTCCTAGAGTAACTTTGAATTCTTTCCAACCTTTTTTAATTTTAAACAGACAATTATGCTAGCACAGGGTAGGCTTGCAAGAAATACTGTTATGTGAAAGACTACATGCCTCTGGTCCAAAAGTTTCCCATGTAACTGATGAAGGAACTCAAAGCATGAAGGTCACCTAACAATTGGCAGCCCCAGGGCTGGAATGCACAGACATACAGTTCCTAATAACTAGACCATGGACACAGCAGCAGAAGAAAACCATCAGGACTTCTCACTTTCTCTGGGGAGTTATTTTAGTGAAAGGAACTCTGAGCATTTCCCCCAGTGCAGGGATAACAAGGATAAAAATAGCTAGTCCAGAAAAATAATATTTACCCTCTTTTGAAATCTGAAATAAACCAGCTTTTCCAGTTTTTGACTGCTCATTTTTGGTTTGTTGTGGTGAGTGATCTTCTGGCAGCTTAGAGTTGTTAAATGGATTCTTCCTTTGCTGGGGAAAAATGATGTTTATTAAACTTGGTTTAAATGTCATAACAGCAATGCAGAATTAGCAAATGCTTATGATCTCACATGTTTAATAGCTTTAAACAGTCCAACCTATTATCTGGCATGTTTAATTTGGTTAGCATAGTACTATACATCATGGGAAAACATAGATAAAATTATATGAAGTATACACATTGCCAAAGTTCTTTGAAATTATATCAGAAGCACCCTTTATTGGTAAGAATGATTCTGAATGATAGCAAAGACCTGGCAAGATAATCCTAGGGTTTTTTTGAACAGGTTAGATTCCCATCAGGTCTTTTCCTACCATGCTAGTCGCTATAGCAGATTACAGCTGTTTGGAATAACCTCAATCACCTTGAAGTGTTTTGCAGGTGTTATGGCCAGTTCCAGTAACAGCAAAGGTATAAGTATATGAAGACTGGGTTTTATTGTTGTTTTCAGATGGGAGCTTCCTCTACAGTCCGTAGAGTGGTTTTGGGTTCACAATATTCCTGTCTCTGGCTTTTCATATTAATACAAGACTAACTACAAATGAATATTGTTTGTAGCTTTATAGATTAGCAATTCCCTTCTGGAAAGAGACCTAAAAGAGATGCAAGAAGCTATGCCTAAAACCATGGGCAATGGTGGAGCTAACAAGCTATTTCCAATAGCCTAAGAACGGCAGCACCATATAGGCTTTTAACTTTTGATTTTCTGGGGCAGGGTCTCATTTCATTACCTAGCCCTGCCTAGCCTAGAATAAGCTCTCTAGACTTCAGCAGGCACGGAACTCTCATAGATCCTACTTTCTTTGCTCTCTGCATCCCAAGGCCTGGGATTAAATGAGGGGCCACCACTTCTCTCTTTTAAATCAATTTTAAGATGTATGTATGAATTATAAATGTATGTATTTGGGCATGCATGAGCATTTGGGTGGCCATAGCGGCCAGAGGCATTGCATCTCTGTGGAGCTGGAGTTATTGGCAGTTAAGAAACTCATATCCTGCAAGAGCAGTAAACTGTTTTAACCACTGAGGCCATCTCTCCAGTCCCTAGACACTAACTCTCAAGGGCAGAAAGAAATCTGGGTCTTGTGTAACACAAACATAATTATCAACTTTATCCACCCCAGGAGTGACTTCTTAAGCTAAATACCCAAATTATTTACATATGGTACACAAAATGAATTACAAGATTCTCTGTATTTGTTTTGCTTTAATATGATGAGGAAAATGGCATTCCTGCCCATAATGATATTTTAAACATCTAGGCTAGATCTACCTTGGGCAAAGACACAGCTGGATTCCTTGTATTTTCCTGGGACGTATCAATCACAGTGGAAGCTGGATCCACCACATTGGAACTGCAAAAGAAACAATCATTCAGAGCTTATAACCCCACCCTGTAGGGAGCATAAATCATGGCTCCACAGTCAAGAGCTTTTTAAGACAGGAGAGGGAAAGAAGTTTGTAAGATCAAACTGCCAGGAAAGGAGAAGAAACTGTGGTCCAGCCATGATAAGGTACAAAAACAAAGGCAACAGTGGACCAAGAATGTAAGGGCAGCATAAGAAAGGGCAAAAGCATCTATTAGGACCCTTGACGATGTCTAGAGTACAGGCACACAAGAGGTTCACAATTTAAACTTGCAGAAATGAATTCATTTCAAACTTAAATCTATCATCAGATACAAATGAGGTAGGGAGCAATGGATTTTATGAATGAAGTAAAGTCACAAAATCTTGAGTTCACGGCAGAGTCTCCCCTAAAGCATATGGGACATAATAGAAGCAAAAGCTCAGTAAAGTAAGTGATCTGGCAAAGAGACAGCATGACTGAGTCAGATAGCAGTACACAAAGGCTGATGTGTCAGGGCAATTCCTTATGACCTTCTAATTCAACATGTTAATAGACAAGTACCATAAGGGCATTGAGAAGGTGGTGGGTGTGTAGATAACTGCAAGTAGTTTAAAGAAGGGTGAAGGGTTCTCTGAACCAGAGTGCACTATCTAGAGGCAGGAAAGCCCCTGGGGTGAAAGTAGAGCAGGAGCTCACAGAGAATGGTGAGTTGAGAAGGTCATTCCCTTGACTATGACTAAGAAGAAAAGTAGGTCACAGAATCCCAGGAGAGAAGGAAAATCATCTTGCCAAGAAGGCCCACTCCAGTAGCCTTGCCTTAGACATAAAAGATGAAGTCACTATTGGCTGGAACCACTGTTCCCTGTTAGTCTCCACCAGCTCTTAGTGACATCAGAGTGGAGAACATGGAAAAATCCTCTGAAGGTAATGGTTTCTTCCCATACAGCAGAGGAACAGAAAGCCCAGGCAAGGAAACAATTCACCCTGCGGCCATGAAACCTTGCTCAAGGTTACTGCCATTAAACCCCAGGGGTAGATATTTCATGGTTTCCTTTTCTGATTTCTGTACTTAAACTACTAATTTTTTTTCACAGTTAGTCCCCAGAAACCATTAAGCTCTTAAGAAAGCCATTCTTCCTTTCATCACTTTCCTTACTGATCCAAAAGTAAAATACAGCAGATGAGGTGTCATTTACAGCTTGATCGCATGAAGACAGAAAAGGGGAAGGGAAGGTGTATGAAATGGAAAGCACAGGAAGAAATTATAATGGAACCACAATCTGGACAGAAAGGGAACTTCCAGGAAATCTATTCCTGCACTAGATGAACACAATGTCAAATTAAGTTGTGTAATAGCAAAGTATCAAAAAGAAGCTCGGTGTTCATGCAATGAAAGGCCAATAGCTCAGAACTGGGAAGCAATTTCTCTCCAGTGCCATTTTAAAAGGCCAATAGGGGAGATATTTAACTACTCAATGCTAGTGAAGTCATAGATCTTGGAGGAGAACCTACAACTGCCACTATATCAAACTAGAGTAATCCCTAACTATGTTCTAAATATTTGTCCTTATACCCAGATATAAGTGCATTCTTCATCCATCATCAAGCAAAGTTCTTTGCAACAGACAGTGACCATTACAGGAAACTATATCAGGTCAAAATGCAAAAGTGTGAAGCCCAGTCCCCCTGCTATATTTGCAACACAACGCACACACCTAAGACTCAGGGATCATTGTAGAAGAAGAAAGAGAAAGACTGTAAGAGACAGATAAAGGAGTTTGCTATGAGATTCTGTTTCCTAGAAATGTCAGATACTACACCCAAGAAATCTCACCAATTTTGCTGCAGAAACATGAGCTGAACAAGATGAGCACCAGTAGACATGACAACATGGACAATGGAAATCCCAGCCATACAAAGCCCACCCTACACAAAGAACTATAGGCAATTAAGGATGCTGGGAGCAATAGAGAGAGAGTCTTCCCCCTATCGAAGAGTACATCAATTAGTTATCCAGTGCTGAATGGTTAGCCCTAAAAACATATACACACAAGTAACATTAAATAGTCTGAACATTTATTTATGTATTTAGGGACACATACACATATGTAACAACAAAAAAGAGATCATGAATTTGAAAGAGAGCAAAGGGGGGTACATTGAAGGGTGTGAGGGAGGAAAGGGAGAAGCAAATGTAATTATATTATGATCTCAAAAATGTTTTACAATTATAAAAGTATCTGGTAAGTCATATGATGACCAATATACAGCAGATGCCTGGCTTGGTGTAAATGATCTCCCTTAGTAAGTAAAGCAGCTGGATATTCAGAGAACCTGAGTCAAACACAGAGCTTGGGGTTCCCCAAGGGATAGTCATGTTTTCCTGCCATCTTGCTCCTTCCCACTCCCTAAGCCCAAAGGAAAAGCAGGGCCTCAATACTGTGTTCCCTCTGTATCTGGAAATGCAGCTCCTCTGCCCCCCAGGCTCCAGAGGCCCAAATTGCACATCTTGATGACTCTTTTTACGGAAGATGAAACCAGTCTCTCCCAGAGTTCTCTAGGAAAAAAAAAAAGCTGATGGCCTAATCACATGACTCTTGGTTGTTTCTACTCAACTCCCTGGTTCACGGTCTGCTGTAATCAGTCCTGTGACTTTCAATCTAATCCCAATCTCACCTCCTGTAGCCTTATTTGTCTTATGACACTTTTCATTGCCACTTGGGATTTAGAGTTTTCTTCCTGTTTGGTATTGCTTGATATCATGACATCTGATCTTTACAGAGAAGCATTATCTTTCCTAAGAAAATGGTCACTTTATGGCCAGATAACTGCATATTTTGAACCTTAGAATCCCACTCCTCCCAAAGAGAGGTGGACTGTATCATGAAAAGAAAAGATACTCAATATATTCCACATGACAACATTTTAGATAAAGTCTCTCTATGTATCCCTGGCTGTCCTGAAACTGTCTACATAGACCAGGCTGGCCTTGCACTCATAAATATACTTGCCTCCACCTTCTGAATGCTAGGTTTAAAGGTATATGCCACCGTGCCCAGCTATATCATAAGATTTTTAAACTGGAAAGGAGGTCAAGCTCCACAATCTGTGTCCTATAGCTTCTTTTGTAAGAATGGAAAAATTTAGCCTAATTCTCCCTAGACTCTGCCCCCTAGCAGTGAGTAGGCAAAAGGTCATTCTTGACTGTTTATGACAGGGCGGTTTTACTGACAGCACCTGTGAGTGAATGAGAACAGGAAATGAGCCGTGCTACACTACCCAGAAGCCCTAGCAAAATCAGACTTCCTGGGCTAAGCGCGGCTAGTTCAAATTGATTGGTCCACACTGGATGCTATGAGATGATTGGTTTGTGATGTGCAGGCTTTGTTGTAACCCTATAAAAGCTGTCTGAACTCTGTACCCAAGGTTCCCAGTCCTCTACCCCACGTGGAGTATGGCTGTGGACCCCAGTGCACTGGAATATAAAAGACCTCATGCTTTTGCATCAAGACCGCTTCTCGTGAGTGATTTTGGGGGGCGCCTTTCCTGAGTCGGGGCGTGAGGGTTCACACCCTCCGCGGGTCTTACATTTTCTGTAAATCACATTTAAGACAAAATTGAAGAATTAAGATGATTAAAACTTTCTCCCTGGGTCCAAACTACTTCCTTGTTCATTAATTTAGTTAATGATTTGTTTTTTTTATACACCTCTTCCCTCACCATTTATTCTTTATTTAATAATACATGATCTTATCAACTATTTTTTTTTTATTAACTCATTCATTCACTTTCCCACCTTTATACATCCTAACTCTTTTACCCATGGCTCAGGTTTGTCAAAGTGCTCCCCTGATTATAAGGAAGGTAATCAAAGACTTTTGTTGATAACATTTAATTTTTAGGACACTTTCTTAAATGGTATCAAGGCACTCAGGCAACCAGTAGCCCCAATGACCCTCCTATGAATTTGACTTGTTTGGTTCAAGACTCTGAGCTTTACATGGATGCTTATCACAAAATAACATAGAATTTTAAGCGCCAACCTTCTTCATGTTACACAGCAGCAGAGGACCACATGGCTTACTTGCTAGGATGGTGCAAATACATTTGGGTCCATATTTCAGGAAGGTGACTGTTAAAAAGGGAAGGAATATTGAAACTTCCAAGTATATAGGCTTAATACTGGTGGAACAGCTAAGTATTCTTTATTATCTAATTTGTGTTACATCCTTTCAAAAAAAAAAAAAAAAAGATGGCACTGTCAGACATCTGAGGGGTAAGTGACAGAGAAGAAGACAAAAGGGAAAAGAACTGGAAGTTTACAATGCACCTGAGTAAGTATTTAATATTTTAGATGTCTCTGCTAGCCTCTCTGCAGCTCTAGAGATAAAACAGCCTGCACTATCAGAAGGTAAGTCTCCAACAGTGGTATCAAAGGAACAGAGACAGATTTAAAAGTTCGTCCTTTTTAAGTTTATTCAATCCAAAAAAGTGTTATAGCAGAGACATCAAAGGCCCTGGTTAGCAGATGCCTATTAAACTCTCAGTGGTACCCAGGGCCCCAAACTTGTTTCATGGAACACATTATTATCTCAGACAACAAAGATGGTTTCCCATGCCATACAGAATGTGTTCCACTTCATTTGTGGGTAGTACTCTGACAGAGGGAAGAGCTTCCCTGCTCTTCATTCTGTATGCCCCACTTTTACTAGACCATTTCCTGTGGCTTTTGTGCACATACTCAATGATGCTATCAATGCGGGGTTCGTGGACCAGTGGAAATCCATAAATGGTTATCACTGATTCACAGTGATGTATGTAGAATATGTGTGAAGAACCATGTTTCCAGGTGCTGTTTTCCCATTCTGTACTTTATTTCTGTGTTTTACAGAAAGTGACAGTCTGAGACTTTTAGAAATCAAAGATTAAAAACAAAACAAAGCAGGTTCTCCACCATAGTGTATGGAGTTCAGCAGACACCATCCAGCTAAGCCAGTGACTGGGACTACAGCTGCTGGTGATCTTATTTCCATCTGCTGCCCTCAAGGAACAGTGTCTTCTGTTTACAAACCTTTCAGAGCTTCCTAGTGTACAGCTATAAACAAAGAAGGTAGGTGGCTGCCCACATCTGACTGCTTGCTGATCACCCAGAGCATTTTTACTCTGGGTAGGGTAGATGACCTCCCCTATCCAGGCTCATGGCTACAACACAGTAAAACAAAAATCTTGCCAGTATTCGCATGTAAGAAACTGCACTATCAGGGAGGGAGGGAGGGAGGGGGAACTGGGATCCCCAGTTTAAATTAAAAAAAAAAAATGCTTTGACTCCAAAATTTAAGTTCAAGGACAAGTTACTGGGGAAAAGGATTTCTATTTTTGTTTCCACAGAAAATGAAAAGATGTGGATTCCTTCCAGACTAATGTGGTTTGATCAAGCCAGACCACCTGAAACAGAGTACCAGGTGATCCTACATTCAAAACAGCTGGACAAAGCAGCCTTACAGACTACAGCCAGGATTTCTGCATCTTCTTAGAATCCCCCATGACAGCGCCCCTTACCAGCAGGAAGTAGTTTGGAAAGAACGATGCCCAAATTCCCAAATATTGTCTATAAATGTTTGTTTTCATTTAAATGGACTTGGTTATATAAAATAAATAAAAAAATAATTTTAAAAATAACTTTTAAAAATTAAAATAAAGGGAGGAACTTTGTAGTGGAAAAAAAAGAAAAAGAAAAAAAGAAACTGCACTATCCAGCCTCACATCCCCTCTGCTTTTCACTCCTGGCTAAGAAAATATTGACAGGCATTGAGTCATTCTATTGAAAATCACTTAGTCTATAAGTACAGGCCCCAAAACACACTTAACACACCCAGTTCACAAAGGTTAAGAAAGCATAAGTGAGAAGCAATGCAGGAGATTGATACCAAGAAAAATGGTGGCCTCTGACACGGAAAGGAGGAAGCCAAAAGTAACTCCTTGTACAGCTGACTGATTACCACCCATGCCACGTCTCCCAGAACTGGCCTTTACTGAGCAAAGCATGCTTGACACGCCTAAGCTGTGTGCTTGCCTTCTCAACCATCCTTAATCCATGTAATATAATAGTGGAATTGTAATGCCACCCGGAAGTTGCCAATTTCTGTTCTTCCTGAGAAATGCTAATCAGTTCCCGTACTTAATTTCAGTTAATCTCACAATATCCTAGTAAGGCAACCCTGTTCCAGTTTACAGATAAGATCCAAAAGACCGATCTGAGGCCACATAGAAGACAATGTGTATTCATATCATAGGCATTATATTAGCCTGGAAGTAAGGAAGAAGACTAAGGAATGTTCCAGCCTGGGGGTGCCTGAGGAAACTGAGTTGGGTACTCTTGCTTCTTAAGTCCTCTGAGATGGAATGAGAGCCTGGAGGATAGGAAGTCTGGGTTTGATCAAACTGTGGAATGAGCTGTTTGCCTCAGAAGCCCCAAGGTGTCTTCTTGCCTCTTCTATAATGGTATTTATTTTCCTCTGCTGGCTACTGCTCCATGCTACTCAGCCCCTATCATGCCCAGGTTCTAAGATCTGCTCCCAGCTTCTTGGTCATGTCACCAAATGGTTATGACTTTTCTGCCAGGTTTTCTAATATTTTAGGACTCATCTGCTTTTTTTTTTTCTTTTCTATGAAAGTAAGGACTTTATCTATCAAGGATAGAGCAGGCAATGGAGGTGAGGGTGGGACACCAAGAAGAATGAGTAGAGTATCCTGAGTTTCTTGAAATGCTACGTTCACGAGCCCACATCTCTATTTACTCATGCCTAGTACATGCTATAAGCTATGTTAAGAATTTTAATTTACTAGCTATTTGACTTCCTATTAACTCTTTTAGCAGATTATCCACCTCATTTTATAGCTGTGAAAGTAAAGGCTGAAAAAATAAAGTGGGTGACTCTAAGGATACCATATCAACCAGTAGCTATTAACAAGGTGCCTCAACTTCCACCAAAATGGCAGACCAATGTAGATGAGACGGAACATTACAAATGGTCCTGGAGGAAAAGTGATACCCACCACTCATAGAAAGTAGGCAATTGGCAGACACCTTATTAGTGTCAGTATCCCATTACCCATGTGGCATAACTGTATTCATAATTGACTTTGAAATGCCTATTGGTAATTGTGTTACACACACACCCTTACTTGTCTGTAAACTCTTAGAAGTATCTGTTCCCAGAGTGATTTGGTCTTGGACCTAGACTCAGTATGTCCCACTGTGAATGGCACTGACTTCGTGCCAGTATGAAGTTCTGAAGTGAACTGTCTCTAGAGGCTCTAGAGGTAAAATGCAAGTGTTCTTCCCTCCAAAATGCAGTAATGGTACCCTCAAGAGACAGGTGTTTAAGAATACCTTTAAGTACATAAAACAACTGATTAACCCTCAAAAGTTTTGGAACAACATAGCCCCACAGTTGGTTACTTCTTGGAAAGGACAAACAAATATCAAATAAAAGCATCAAAAAGTCAAAACTTAGAGTACAGAGGACACCCAACATTTTAATTAGGTATTTGCTACATACTATGTACCCACTGTCCTGCACACATTAGAACCAGTTCTGACCAGTCATTATCAATTCTGTCTGTCCTGCTTGGTTCCTGTCCTTGAGCTTCTTCCATCACACAAGACATGACAGTGTGACCACCATTCATCTGTCCCCTGAAATGAGCTGTAGCACTCACAGACCCTTTAGCCTACTCTAAGAAAATCCTAAATACGAATGAAAAGACATCACCCCTGACACTGGAAGAAACAACCACTTAACATTTTGACTAACAGTTGAGATCTGTTGGAAATTCTGAAAGCCAAGGAAGAGTCTTGTCCAGGCTCCATTCCCATTGAAGCCCAGAATTCCCCCGAACATTACCCATTCCCACACCTATGACTCCAGTCCTGCATCCATATCCAAGCCCACATTTCCCTATATAGAACAGCAAGCCACAAAATTCACAAGTTCTGTCTTACCTTGGGCCTGCTGGAGCTGTGTCATCTTCTGGTTCTTCCACAACAGCTAGCTCTGGGGAAAAGAAAGCATCTTTGTCGACATTATTCACCCAGCTTTCTTTTGCCCTCATTGCTGTGTCCTTACTCTGCTCAGCTGAAACAGGAAATGATAAAGACAGAAAGATTATCTCTCACTTCTACAATCTATACCCTTCTCATTGGTTCCTATTAGTAAGGGCTCAGATCTGAACCTTGGGCCTTATAAGCACAAAGATGACTACTGGTCATTATAGCTGTGAGAGAAGTCAGTAGATTTGCATGACTTCAGGTCCCTGCCTCCTGAAAGGACGGGTGTGCCTTTGAAGATACAGGTAACCCTGGAGACCTGAAACAAAGTTCTAATTGCCTCTAGGTTAATCTGGTCTGAATTGGAGGCAGGACTGGATATACTTAACCAAGAGATGCTCAGAGTGGGAGTATCCTTGAGATCCTTACCAAGCATTTACTAAATGCCTACAAAGGGCCAAACAAAATGCTTGACTCTGGGGTACAAAGGAAAAGGAATGATGCTAATTTAGGATGTCCCACTCCAGTGCCTCTTCTATCCCGTGGATCTCTCTCTACAATTCCAAATTCTAAATTCAATACAACACATTGCTCAGGTATTATCACCCTCATAAAATTTCTGTGCTTCTGCAGGAATGTCTTTCGCCTCTCAATACTCAATATTCTCTTTACATGAATCTCCTTACATGAGTGGTAACTAATGAGCAAGAACTATGCTGAATTCTTTGTGGGCATTATTTTGTATGGTAAGAGGTGTTTTCTAGGTTTATAAACTTGGAAATTAAAAATCAAAAGTTCAAGAAAATTACCTAAGGTCACATTATAAGTGCTAAGAATACTTTCATCAGTGTTCAGATGGGGCAATATTGGGCTTCCAATTTCTAAATAGATTCCCAGATGAAATCTACTGGTCATGGCATATATTGGTTTAGCATCTTCAATTGCAAATGGAGTTCACAGTGCCTACCAGTACCACCCAAGATCTCTTAATGCCTGAGTATGCTTGAAAACTTAGAGAACTTCAGGCAATACACTGTACATGCTTAGAAGTCAATCTTTATCTGCAATAAGTGTGACAGAGTCAAAAGATTTGAAATCCCAACTTTGCCACTTAGCAATAATATGATGTTGGGCAAGTTAACTTAAGTTGTCCAATAAAATTTACAGGCAAAGTATATTTACCTTACAAAATTGCCGCTACAGTTAAAAATAAATAATTAAAATTTGCTATATGTTAAATTCTTTAAAGATAGTATTTTTCTTTTGTCCATAGCTAAACCTAAAGGTTTACAACGACTAATCTTGAGTTAAACGGATATGAGTTAAATAGAAATTTCTAAGCATGCAGGTAAAATGAAGTGGTGAGATAAAAAGAATTCTAAATAAACTCATAGTCCATTAAATAATGTGCTAGGGTGATTAAATAAACACCACATGTCAAGATCGTTGAACATGAAACTGATTTCTGTCTAATCTTTGTGCTATTCAGAAGGCTTTGAATTTCCACAATTAAAAGCCAAAGAAGGAGCTATGGAGGTGATTCAGTTGATAAAGTGTTTGCCATGCAAACATCAGGACCTGAGTTTGATAGCCAGCACCTATGCTAAAAAAAAAAAAAAAAAAAAAAAAAAAAAAAGCTACCTGAACATGACTTCTGACCTCCACACACATGCATATACTAGCATGCATATATAGACACATCAAAAGAGCCAAAGAAAGATATGCACATTCCTTATAATCCCCAAGCACTAACACTACTGCATTTAAACATAGTGCCCAAGAGTTGTCTTCATCTATAGCCAGTCACTTATCCCTGTCCTCATCCATCCAAATTCAAGCCAAGAGGACTTTGTGTGAAAAGGACATACACTAGACAAAGCATACCCCCAAATGATTTCTTTCAACAGATTTCAGTCTCATACCCTTCCCCACCCTCCTTCCTAAACAAATGTTGGCTGTGACCTCACCTGACACTGGGAGCCTCTTCTTTCTCATGGATGCTCTGATGATATCAGCACCATGGATTTTGTCCCTGTGCCTTTTTGCCTTAGCGTCATAAAACCATTGGCCACTCATATTCTTTAGTTGTTGGTCATCCTTAATTTTTTCAGGCAAATGTCTACAAAAGGAAAAGAACTTTACTTTGCTGAGAACCCACAATAAATAAACAAATTCATTTTGACACTCTGTTTAGAAATCTGTAAATACAAAGCAAAATGAAGCTCTTAATTTGTATGCCACAAACCTCCCAGATGGCTAACAAATGTCCTGATTTGACTGAAAAGCTAATCAGTGATGCCAAGCATGATTTTTAAAGGGTTTTTATTTATTTTTATTTTATGTGTATGAATGTTTTGCATGTAAGTAAATGTATAATGGGCATACATTACCCGTAGAAGCCAGAAAGGTGTCAGATGCCCTTTCCTTGAACAGGATTTACAGACAGTTGTGAATTTTGAGTGCTAGGATTTGAATCCAGACCCTCTACAAGAGCAGCAAGTACTCTTAACCACTCTGTCTGAAACTCCTCAAGAGCAGATTCACTTCTTAGCTGTAGTCTTCTTTGTCTGCTGTTCAAATGAACACACCAGGGAGGAATGATAGAGAAAGCTTCTCTGGCCATTTTTTAGACAATGAGTGTGTGATAAGCGGTTCCTCGGTTCTTCCCTTTTCAGTGAAATGAGAAGGGCCATGATGCTCTGTGTGCTGAGGCAGGCTAAAATGAGGATGGTCAGGCAAGATCCATCAGTGCCAAGATTGCTTTTAAGGGTTCCATAATCATTCATGCTTGCTGAATAACTAAAACTAAAACCTAAAGAGCAAACCAATTGATGCCCTCCTAAAACATCCCTAATTTATACTGGTTGGGAAAAATGATGTTATAATCAATGAGTCTTTTAACCTCTGCATCCTTCTAGTCAATAAAATGAGAATGCTAAATCTATCTCTTCTTACTCATAGAGATGCATGCAGAAGAAAATCCAAATAAAAGCTTTTGTGAAACTTTGAACTCTTGAAAAATAATATGTTGCACAAATCTAAGTGGTTTACAATTTTTATTCAATCTTAGATGCTCTTTGTCTTTTTGGCAAGTCTGTATTATCCAGAGAAAGTGAATGGGCCAGCGCAGTGGCCAGCATGGGAATGAGGATTGCACACATCTGGAAATGGGGAAGGTGCGCTGGAGGGGCAGGCACCAAGGCCCAGCAACAACAGGCTCCTCTTTCCTAAGTATGCTTGAGGAAAGTATGCTCTTCGTCTGTCACATATACTCTCTGTTAGAATCTCCTCTCCCAATCATCTGGGAAGAAGTGATTGTGCTCCAAGTGTGCTCATCCCCGTCCTTAGTCATACAGCTTATGTTTAAATCATAGCAGGGACAACAGCATTAGTTCACAGCCCTGAGCCACCCAAGGACTATGGTTCTTACTAAATGCTTTTAATCACTGCTCATTGCCTAAGGCTTTTGTCCAAGCAGAGAGTCTTAGCTGGGCAACTGGCTGTAGTTCTTATTTTTTTCTTCTTCGAACAGGAGCAAGATTCTGCCGAATTCCAGAAATGGGAAAAACAAACAAACAAACAAAAAACCACCTCTCCTTGGTCAGATGGGACTTCTAGAAGAATGGTCTTCCTTTCATATGTCTTTCCATAGTGCCTTAGAAAGAAGTGAGCTTGAAGTATGGAGGAATGCTATATGAGGCACTGACCACCTGGCTGATTTGAGGTTCCTTTCCAGCAGACACTCTTAAACCCCACTTGCCAGAGCACTCAACTTCTTATTGCCCTCAAAACTACTCTGTGACCTGGAGGTATTAGAGGTAGAAAAGTATGACTAAAAGACTATGGGCTCTGGAGGCTCTCCCATATAGGACCAAAGCCTGATTTGAATTCTACATAAACATGCCAATGGACAGGTTGGTGAACTATACTTCGTCTCCTTGCTTATGAAGATGGAAGAAATAAGACCTACCCTTGAAGACTTCTGAGATAATTCACTGAAGTGTTTTGCCTGGAAGTACTTAGCAGTACCCAGCTTTTATAAAGAGACCAATGACCTCTGGATGTCCTCCCCTGGCTTCTGTGTCCAGCATATTCCTCCTGTGCTGCTACAGGCCTAGCCTGAACATCACAAAGACATGCTTCCCTTTTCCTTGTTCCTACAACACCTCCCTTCAGCATGCACTCAGTATCCCAAGACTATTTGCACATCTGTTTCGCCCAGTCAACTGTGGACTCTGCAAACTCCTTGAATACAAGGATCACATCCTTATCACCCTTTATAGTCTCACCATGAAGCAAAGAGACTGGAACAGAGATAATACCCAGGAAATGTTTGTCGAGGGAGTAAGTCATTGAGCAGTTATGTGCTCAACAGCCATACCAGTTTGAGAAAGAAAGGAGATAATGAAGGTCCCACCACTGCCAAGTTCCAAGGGACCAGACCCCACCATAGTGACAGGGTTTTCTGATGAGGCAGGACTGCTCATCTCTCATCAGAACAGGAAAAAGCAGATCATGAACTATGGTTACCTGTCAGCATGCCACAAACCCTTAACAGCAGAGCAACTCCTGGTTTCTCATCAGGAGATTGTTTTTGCTAGCTACTTTACAATAGAATTTTTGGAGGTCTTAGTAACTGCCTGCAAGGCCCTTTTGGGTGTGCAAGTAGCAAAGGCTATGTGAGTCATGCCCAGGGAGACACAGGGCCCCAGAAGAGGTTGGTAAGCATTGTGGGAAGGACAGGGTTTCTGGCTCTTTTGTTTAAAAGTGACAAGAGAATGACAATCTTTTCCAAGTTGGTGAGAGCCATTTTGGTATTTCTTAATATGATTATTTCTTCTGGGTTTAATAAGCTCTGACTTTCTACCTTGTTTGCCTGCAATAACTGCAGATGACTCCCTGTGTGTGATATCAAAGACCAAATTTATAAAGATGTCAATCATTTGAATAATGCCACTGTGGTGGTGCTAAAATCTTCCCTTCCAATAGCTCTGTTATCTTTCCTTTCTTCTGATTTAAAATTGAACAAGCCATAATAGCAAATTGTACTGTCTACCTGAAGCATGAGAAAGACAGCAGAAAGACATCTCACTCCAAAAATGTCATTGTCCTGTCAGCCTTCCAAACCAAGAATTTGGGGGTTCTTCTGCACAGTCTCCCATTCTGTCCATGAACATCTGCACAACCTTTGTTTGAATGAGCTTAACCTCTGCTTGGTATTTTATCTTTCTGAGTTCTCTACAGATAATTTAGTCAACAGCAGAATATAGCGGTTATGTCTGCTCTGTATAATAATGCCAATATTTAAACCTTTTCTGATCATTTGTTCACTTGGTCACCCATTAATTTCCTAACCTGTACCAGGCCTATTCTGGGAATTGGGTATAAAACAGTCTACAGTTCTGATGGCCAGTGGCCATTCTTTTCAATGTATGGGGAAAGTGTAGACTTACACCTTTTTTTTTTTTTTTTTTTTTTTTTGGCGTTTTTCAGACTAGATTCAAAGTTGTTCCCAGCCCACCTCCTTCTCACTGTATGCACACATACACTCCAATTCCCAGCTCTTGACATGATCAACAAAGGGCTGTCATCATAGATAAGACCTGATCAATGCTACCTACTCAGATGTGAGTGGGAAAGCTGAGCAGACTGGTCAAAGAGATGCTTCTTTCTATCCATTCTCCAGAGCCAGTTCCATCTCCCCACAACCCTCCCAATATATTCGGGGAAAGAAGATAAGATTATATGACTTAAAAAGTGGCTGGCCTCAATGTCTAAATGAAATGATTGGGGCCCAAAGAACATAGTGTTAGCTTGACTCTCATCAAGCTGATTAAGACCTGACCAATACCAACTACTGTAGTACATAAGATTGTATGACTTAAAAATGGACTCACTGTCTAAATGAAATGATTCAGGCCCAGAGAACTTAAGAGACTTGCCCCTGGTAACCCAGAAGTTAGCAATGCTGCCCTGCTTGGTAAAGCCTAACAAGATTTTGGTTTCTATAGTAGTTCTACCATTTTTTTCTCTCAAGCATTGATGGAGAATCTGGAAACCAACAGACCTGGAAAGAAAATGAACTGAAATGCCTCTTAAAATGAGAAGAAGTGCATTTCTGAGATGCAGGCATATCACAGATCCCCACAATCTGCTGAGTTTCAGCACAGAGTGGGGAAGCTCTAGGCTTTGGAGTGGATCAGCAAGACTCTCATCTTGCAGGCTGCTTACCCTCTTACATTCTATTTTTCCATCCATGTGTGTGCAGGGGGAGGGGAAGTTGAACCCACTGTTCTGAGAACAAAAGGGAATTGCATGTGAAGCCCCCTAAATGCTGCAGCCCTGGGATAAACACTGGTTTCTTTCTGCTTTGCTTTCATGGAAGACACCCCCAGAGGTTCTGGAAGCCAGTTCTTCAGCAAAAACTGCCTTCATTTAAAAAGAAACAAGGTCCTAAAGAGGCAACTGAGAATCATAAGATGTGGTGGCGGTTGAGATGGTATCTACTGCAAAAACGCCCATCGCTGTAGATGTGGTTTTATACATATGGGGGTCGGGACATGGTGCTGGTGTGGTGTACAAACAGATATGTGCATCAGTTTCCTGCTGGCAGGGTGACGCAAAGCACAGGAAACGCCACCTCAGCAGTGTGTCATTTTCAAACCATAAAAGTCTAAAATTACACATGTGTGTGTAGTAATGTTCCTCTCAAGGGTAGAAGACTCAGACAGAGGGCCAGAGTGGAAGAGAGGAAAACATCTATCTTGATGTCTGCTTCTCTGTTGAACTATCAAACATTTCTACTCACGAGTTAGAAACACAAGATGATAAGTTGAGCCCAATGCTTGTGACTGGAGTAGAAATAGCACAGAAAACAGATGTAGCATCAGGGTAACCTGGGGCTGTCACCTTCCTATGTGTACCCGAGAGACCTCGCAAGGATATTCCCCATATGCTACCACTGAGAGCTTGGGTGGTTTAGGAAGTGGGCATATCCCCTGCATAATGCTCATTTTTTTATCACCCATGAAATCAGGGTGGAAGGCATCATACAACCGACATCCGCAAAGTGTCTTGCATGGATTTGAACATGAGCCACTGAAAACCTTAGATGTATAAAAAGCAGCAAACCAGCTTCAATGAGAATATAACCTTATCTACAGCCCCACTAATGCGGATTTTGAATCAGTGTCTGACTTCGTATAAAACAGTGGAAGAGTCCTTATCCACATCCTCGTGGCTATGGGATGGCTGGATTCCCAATGCCAACAAGGAATGGGAGCCATTCACAACTGAAATCCTGGCACATGGCATGAGAAGCTGAGACAGAAGGAGCACCACAATTTGAAGCTAGCCTGGGCTACACAGTGCAGAAGGGGGAGGGGCTAGAGAGATGGCTCAGTAAATAAAGTGCTTTCTACACAAGCATCAGGACCTGAGTTCAACCCTCTGAGCTGACATAAAGCTGAGTATGACATCACACGTCTACAAGCCCTGTATTCCTACAGTGAGATGGGAGGCAGAGAGAGCAGGGTCACTCAGAGGCACATAGCCTAATGCCTATAGTGGTGAACAATAAAAGAGACTCTGTCTCAAAAACTATGCAAATGGAGGGCCAATACCCAAGATTTTTTCTCTGACTTATTCATATACACCAAGATACACATACATGACTGCATTTACACACACACACACACACACACACACAGAGAGAGAGAGAGAGAGAGAGAGAGAGAGAGAGAGAGAGAGAGAGAGAGAAGACATTAGAGGCAAATCCACTCTTCTAATGGTGCTAACTGTAATTAATACATCCCTAGTTTGGCTTAGACAAGAAGGACAACTAAAGCTGTAAAATCATGTATCCAATTGATAAACCTTTAAATGAGTAAAAGCCATGGAACAGCAAATTCCTTAAGGGCTGGGACCATGTCTTGAATCATCTTCAAATACCAGTCACATCACCTTCTGGGACAGTTTCTCCATTTAGGGGATACACAACTAAATGTTGCCATATTAAAAATAGTTGAGACTTTGGAGAATAATTCCCTGATAAGGGACCAACCTATTAGGCACCATTCTCTGTGCCTAATGAGAGGCACAAGTTGAATGGTGGGAAGGAAGATCCAGATGTACCCATCACCTTTTGCATGATGGAAAAATTAAGAAGCATTTTCACAATCTAACTTGGTTAGGACCTGGTTATTCCAAGTGTCTGAGCTGAAGCTAAGAAAGGAGGTTAAGTAAACACCCTAATGAGCGACAGCTGATTACTGACAATGGGACTTGACACCAATGTCCCTGTGTTATGACTCAACACTCACTGTTCCATTTTTGAAAGAAAATTTCCAGAGAGCAGCATAAGACAGACATAAGGTGCTGGACCAAGATCACAGCTTTGTCACCGAGCAGCTGTGTGGTTCTGGGCCAATCACTTCCCTCTCCCTGCTTTGCCATCCTGCCGAGGCAGATTAACAACAACATGTCTTGCTAGAATTATCAAGCCATAACTGTCCAAAGAGGGATGATAAACTGTGAAGGATTACAGGGGAGCTGCTGAGCCAAAGCCCTAGGAGGATGGTTTTCAGACTCTGGAGACCCTGTCTTGGCCACCACACATTAAAGACTGCGAATCACCCCGACAAGTCCCCTTGGTTGCAGAACAAGAACCTTCTTGTGTGGAACACACCAAATGTAGCTTTCAGTAGGATCCACAGTCCTGAACTGTTTGCCCTTTGCAATGTACATTGCCACTAGTCCTTAGGTCCTAGCCCTGCCTGTGGTCAAGTCCACAAAAAATTCTTGATGCTTAGTTAGAAAGATGTTCAAGAAGTGTTACTAGCTAGGGAGCTAGGGCTGACACAAGATTTCTTTTCACCTCTAGGCTTCTTCCTACCATATATTTACAACAGCAATCCGTCAGGCCCATCTGGAACAGCAGACCCAAGGAGACTCTGCGAAAGGACACATGGTACTACCACAGAGGCTATGGCCTAGCTGTACTTTGCCCCTAAGTGGAGATGGCAAAGTCCCTGCCTTGCCAAAGCACAGCACTGTTACAAGAACCACACAGGAGAAAGTTCAGCAAAAGGTTTGTAGACTGTGAATAGGAGGAGCATCAATGCTACTGAAAAGTTATGCCGGCTGAATTTGTATCAGTCATCTACATTTCCCTGTACATTTTCTTGTGGGGAGACCCCATAAGGTATTGAGTGACATGGGAAAAAACGTGATCTCATTCTCACCAACACAGCTCTGTGTCAGCCTCATCATGACTGAAAAGTCAGAGATCAGGATCCGATTCTCACTTGTAATCCCTACTAGTTGGGCAAGTCACCCACCTGTCTGTCACACAGTAAATTTCCACATGCTGGGGTCGTCATATCCCATTCCATTGCTCAATTGCACAAAAGAGTGCAAGATCAAGAGAAATGATGATCATAGGCATAATAAGCATTTTAAGCCCTCTGTAACTTGCCAAGCACATTCATTTGCTATAAGCATCAGACATGCTGTAGTGCTTGGATCGAATTGTTTTATAAAGTATTCATGTTCAGTCAGAGTCAATACAAATAAATCCATCATTTGTAGCCCTCGTATTCCAGGAAATAAGAACATGGCTTATTTTTCCATCCAGAAGACTGGAATTGGGAACATAAGCTAATACTGCTAACATACATTCAAAAAAATCTCTCAATGTTTTCAAAACCCATGTTAACAGAGATGGTAGATGGCAGGACCCAGGCCGCAGGAGGGACAGTGAATAATTAAGTCAGGTCATCAAGTAGCATGCTCTAGTGTTCTTTCTACTATGACAGTGGTGGGAATGTTGACAGGGAAGAACATGTGGATTATATATTCAAAAGGGATAGTAGGTCAAATTGGCTCTTTTCTTTGAAGGACCCAAGTCAAATGGAAACTTGACCTGTTTGGAGGGCACTTAATTTTGCTCTTAAAACCAATTATAGCAGTTCAGAAGGTATTTAGAAATATGAACTACTACTCTTATGGATGGGAGGAAGGGGAAACTGTGGTTGGTATTAAATTTTTAAATTAAAAATACTTTAAAAAATTAAAATTTAACGTAAGTCATGATTCTTTAAAGCCAAAGTCAATGGATGTAGAAATACACACAAACGTAGCTGGGCATAGTAACACATGCTCATAAACCCCAGATTCATGAGTCTGAGACTCGGAGGTCATGGATTACATAGCAACACTGTCTCAATTTCAAATCTCTCTCTCTCTCTCTCTCTCTCACACACACACATACACACACACACACACACACACACACACACACACACACACCACAAAACACACAACTACCGGCTAACCAGCTACATTTCTTCTTCTTTTCTGACTTTTACATTTTTCTATATTTTTCATGTGCAGTAATGGATGTGTGTGCATGTGTGTGTGTGTGTGTGTGTGTGTGTGTGTGTGTGTATGTGTGTGTGTGTGTGTGTGTATTTGTGAATGTGTGTGTATACAAGCACACATGTACAGGAACATATGGAAACCAGACATTGACAATAGGTATCCACCCTCAACTGTTCTCCATCTTACCTTTTTTTTCACACAAAGTCCCTCACTAAACCTGGAACCCACTCATTCAGCTACACTGGCTTGTAGTGAGATATTCACTTTGTCAGCATCTATGGAACTGACCACACCCATCGGAGGTGGAGACAGGGGTGGAGTGACCTGGGGGAACTAGGTCTGAGGAGGGGCTGGGCACACTCTCTTACTGGTGGGAGGGGAACAGGAGAGCATCTGGAGGCATCCTTGGGACCAGGAACCTGCTGGTGTTCATCTGTCTATGTTGTAAGTTATTTCTCCCTGAATAAGCAGGGAGAAATATTCGGCCTATTTGTTTCTCCTGGTCCTTATTAAACCAGGATATCTGGTGTCAGAAATGGGATCAAGATTTTAATGGGACCTGGGTTTCACCCAGGATCCTGGCTAGCCTCAGAGATCCTCAATTTTTGATTCCCAGCAATGGGATTATAGACACATGTGGCCATGGCTGGCAGGTCATTATTCTTAGGGGGCAAACACTTAAATGACTGAATTATCCCTCTAGCACCTCTTTCTGTTGGTTTGTTTGGCTTTTGCCTTTTGCTTTGCTTTGTTTTTTAAGAGATAGAGTTTGACAATAATAACCCAGGCTAGCATTAAACTCCAGACAATCCTCCTGACTCAGCCTCCAAAATTCTGGGACTACAGAACAGACATCATGCCTGGTTATATGCCTCATTTTAAGCTGGGTCAAAGGCATATATGGGTGTGTTTCTGTGTGGGAGGGAGGCAGGATCTCATGGTATTGTCCACACTGACCTCAAACTGGGCTGATGTGGTCCCATCTCACTCTCCTGAGTAGCTTGAACCCCAGGTCCACGACACATGCCTGGCTAAAGTTTTTAATTAAGCCCCTATTTCTGGCAGGAGTACAGTATGTAAATTAAGAAACATCAGGAGCTGTGTGGTAATGGCACATGCCTTTTTAATCCCAGCACTCAGGAGGCAGAGGCAGGTGGATCTCTATTAGATTGAGTCCAGCTTGGTCTATAGGTGAGTTCCAGGACAGCCAGAGCTACAGAGAGAAACTCTGTCTCAAAACTCCAAAACCAAAACGAAGGAAGGGAAGGAGGGAGGGAGGGAGGGAGGGAGGAAGGAAGGAAGGAAGAAAGAAAGGAAGGGGGAAGGAAGGAGGGAGGGAAGGAATGAATAAAGTAAAGAAAGAAAGAAAGTGAGAGAGAGAGAGAGAGAGAGAGAGAGAGAGAGAGAGAGAGAGAGAGAGAGAGAACGATCAGGAGGAAAAAGTTCTGTTCAGGAAGTTAACCTAAAATTGGAATGTATAAGTTTAGACTACAAACAAATTACCAGTTATGACTGAAAAGAACAGCCCTACTTTCTGTGGACCTCCCCTTCTTTCCCTCATGTATTCTTCTGGCCTCTTACCTGACTCTCTCCTCTTCTGCCCTCTTCAGGGCTGCATCCCGCTGCAGAACCTTTAAAATAGCATCTTGTTCCTCCTCTGTCAGGAAGCTTAAGTCAATCATTTTGAAGTGTACACAAAAAGAACAATAGTAACAAATGTGGTTTAGGATTCTCAGAGGGAAACAGTCAAAACTATAACCAGTATGATTACAGGATATAAAAGTGAAATATTATCTTATTTTGTGGTAAAAGTCTTGTCTGGGATCCACAAAAGTTTCAGGCAGAGGACAGCAAAATCCTAAAAGTAAGGTCCCTCGAGGTAGTAGCAGTCTGTGGGTTGATAGGCAGGTCTCAGGAAGATGCTTTGTTCCTTGCTTGTGCCTTCAGCTACATTCCTTGTGTGCACCCTCTCTGGACCAGTCTTAGACACAGACACACCACGATCATAACCATCTTGACAGAGGACCACCTTGGTGCATCCCTGACCTGGAAGAACACGAGACAGCAAACACCAATCAATGAGAAGAAGTTCCAGTCTGTAAACACTGCTCAGTGGTACATTTTAAAATGACCAGAGGTGACGGTTTTTGAGCCGGGGAAACTAGTTCTGCCAGCTTCCTGAGCTCAAGGTCAATGTGTCAGATACATGCTTTTACCCAATTCTAGACCACAGAGATGGAACACACAAAGATGCCTGTTAATGTTTAACAACCCACCTGAGCAGTGGAGGTTCTCTCTCTAGAAATTCCTGCCTTAAATGTGATGCTGGAGTTCAGCAGGATCAGGGAGGTGTCAAGGAATTATGAGAAAGAGATGGAAAATAGAGAGTCGAAGTGCTTGACTTCACAGGCAGGTGTAAGGAGTAAAAACTCCTTACAGGCAGGAGCATTTCACTGGTGTGGGTCTGCATTCTGCAATGCAGAACGACTCACCTTGGGCAGATCTAGAACATGCCACAGTCACTGTTGGCTCAGTGGCACCTCTAACCTTCAATGGGCCTGGAAGAACCTGCCAAGCTTGTCTTTCTTCATTTCTTAACACTTAATGACATGCACATATAAACTGGGGGAAAGGAAGAAAGAGATAGAGTTCAAAAACACCCCACCATCCTGTGTCAGCACTTTTTAGTCACAAGATAGGTAAGAATCCTGTTTTTCCAGAAGTATCCCAAAGATGGGGGAAATAAGAGGGTGAGATTTGAAGAATGCCATGAAGCAAGACCTTAGAGATGACATACTTTTAACAAGTCTAGAGCTGCATATGTGGAACAGATGCTCCAAGCCATGTGCCTAAGTAACTCCTAAAGCAGCCCCAATGAAGAAGAAAAGAAAAATTTACACACAAGTGCACAGATACCTTGCAAAACAGAGCTACTGAACAACTACCATGAGCCATTGGCTTGCTAGCTGTGAGCCACTGATCAAATTGCTCTTCCTGAGGATTTATCTACTCCTTTATACTCAACATTAGGATGCCATTTGTAGACTGTAATGATTAAGTAAATCAGTGACTGTAAAGAGAATACATCTTGCACCCTGTACCACAAGTAGCCACTAAAATTGCATTCTTGCCTCCCTTTTAAGCCCACAGTTTTGTTTACGATTGTGCTTGTCAAAACTGGCTTCAACTTTTTTGTGTACTTTTTCTTTGTTTTTGTATTTTTTAATTGATTTTTTTACTTTGTTTTTTCCTCTTTTATTGTTTCTTTTTTTATAAAGAGAAAGAGAACATGAAGTTGGGTGGTAAGGGAGGTTAGGAGAATCTATGAGGCATAAGGAGAATGGAAAAAATATGATAAAATATATTATATGAAAATAATTTTAATAAAAATTTTAAAAGAGAAAATAAATGTTCACATGCAGAAATTGTGCTTGGTTATATGCTTTCTATTTGTCTTTGTGTTATGAAATTTGAGTTTCATAAACAGAAACTGATGACTTTGTTTCATTTTCCTGTAGCTCTTTTATCTTGCCACAGTAGCTACACACATACACACACACACACACACACACACACACACATATCTTATATGTATATTGAATACATTATTTCAAATGTTTTCTTTAACACTCATATACCTTGCCTGTCTGCCTTGGAATCTGCTCATCCTTCAAGGCAGATCTGAGTTACCACCTCCATGAAGCCTTTACTAACTTCCATAGCTAGAAGTAAAAACCTATAATACTTTAAGCTCCTAACTTTTCATGCCATCCCTGTAACAGACTTGAACCTGATCCACCTGATTCAGGACCACTCTGGCTGACCCACAACTACAAAAGAGACAAACAAATGTTTAGTTTTAGAAGATACAAAAATTTCCCATTTGCACCAGAAACCTAGCTGATACAAAAGCCTCTTCCTTTGTCATATATATATATATATATATATATATATATATGTGTGTGTGTGTGTGTGTGTGTGTGTGTGTGTGTGTGTGTGTGTGCATATATGCATATATGAATATGTGTATATGTATACTTATATAAATATATTTCATCAACATATGCATATTTATTTTTATCTTCATTTAATTACAATAGTGAATGTTTTATGTTATTTAGAGAGCGAACCACTAGTATAATTGCTCTCAGATGCCCCTATTTTACTGAGTCTCTGAATGTGAATACATACAACGAATGAATCAGTCAGTTTTAACACACACCATTACTGAAACAACATGACTTCAGTTCTTCTCTTCTTTTACACACAGCAACTCCCTCAGATTCCCCAAGATTGGCGAGGAAATGGATTTAGACCATGTCCTTAGAGATTGCTTCTACAGTCAAGGAGTTGGGACAGGCCAAGAAAAACAATTTCAGCGGTCTCCCAGTAGTAATGGGAAGGGTTGCTGAAGGCATAAATGTTAGTTTCCACACCTCCAAGGAAAAGAGATGCAGCTAACCAGTACTTGTGTGTACTGATGCCTGGGGGTTAAAACAAAAACGAAAATAAAAGCGTCTCTAATGCAGGCTGCTAGCAAGGCAGAGAGTTAATTTTCTCATCTCCCAGTGCAGTGCAGGGCTGGAACCCTCTCCTCCTAGGAGGGGTCAGGAGTCTCTATCCAGCCAGACTGTATGTGGCTGCCCCAGGGCTGTGAAGACTCCTCAGTATCATATCCTTACCTGCTGCCACAGTTTCAGATGGTGTTTAAGTAGGAACTGAGCATCTCATTCATCCCTTCACTCAGCCCTGAATACTTCTGCACCCTAGAGGGGCAGCAATGAGCAAGGGAGGAGGTGCTCTCTGCTGTGTAGGTCTTATATGTGACTGGCAAGAGACTAATCCCGTAAAATAATACAAATAATTATTTTTAAATTTTACAGTCAAACTATATATCATGTTGAGGTGAGAAGTGACATGAAAGAAGCTGAAAAGGAAGTTGAGTAATCATGTGAGAGAAAGGGGATTTGGTTACGGTAGGCCTCACTGACATGACATTTGAACAAAAACTTGAGAAAGATGATGAGATATACCATGCTGGTATCAGAGCACCCTGAGGTGGGAGTGAAAACCACAAATTGTCTAGGGCTGGGTACCACAAAGTGAGGCTGGATAACAGGAAGAACAGGTCAGAGAGGAAGTGGTCCAGGCTGCACTGGGTATTGTAGGGACTACAGGTTCTGGCTCTCAGTCTGAAATGGAATAGCGCTGAGGAGAGGCAGGTACAGGGAGAAGGAATGAATGTTCCCAGGGTGCCTCTCACATGCCTGGTGCTCATATACATTCTGTTTCTCCACAGAATGATGCTGGGGTAAGTCCTGTGCTTTTACAAAGAGACCGAACCCAAAGAAGACTTTTACCATCAAGTGAGACTGGCATTTGCCAGTTGTTTTGACATGATAGACCACCCTGTCGTTGGTACCTTATTCAGTGTCTACTTCCACACAGACCCTTTTAATTGAGGTGACAAAAATAAAGTTAAGAAGGTGTTATATCCTCTGAAGTGCTTAGTGGTCATCCCTGTGAGGAGGGGGATAGTGATGTCTGTAAGGAGAGGATGCCATCCTGTATTCATGGGCATCGCTGATTCACAGGATTCACAAACATCTCCCAGCGGTGAGCAGAAAGTTCTTGTGTTCAGCCTCCCACCTATCTTCAGCACGCTGCCAAGTGATCATTCTATGACTCAGATCCAATGAAAACATATGTTAAGCTGAGAACCCTTTGCTGTCTTTTCATGGTCCAATAACTGAAGTTAAAAGTCCTTAACATGGCCTGGGAACTCACACCTCTTTCTTTCTCAAGCTCTTTCCCTTCAGAAGGGGCCATGCTGAACACTTACACTTCTTTTGGTCACTGGGTCTTTGCATAGGCTAGTCTTTCCTTCTGGGTCCTAATTTACATGCTACTTACTGTACTAGACACCTCTAACTGCTCTAGGCCAGGTTGGAGTTCCTTGGTGTGTTCTATTAGCACATGACTCGGGCCATCACAATAGACATCAGTCCATCACAAACGCAGGTCTACTTATTTGCCACCCACCTATTTAGAGGTACACGGAGTTTTGTGTCCACAGCAACCACCACTTAAATGGGAATGAAAATATTGGTAGAAATTACAGAAATGCAGGTGGAGGGGATAGAGCTTCTACTTCCCATGAACCTAGCTTTAGGACCCAGGAGTAAGAACTCAAATTCATGTTACCCACTGGTTATAGCTCCAGATCTTGTACTGGGTTTGAATATCACCTGGCTTCTCTACAACTCGTGTCTTGACAAAGAATCTAAGAACCTTGTGGAGGATGAGTGAGTACATTGTTTTCTTTATGAGATGATTACAAAGTTCTGGTGACAAGGTAGGACACCACAAATGACACATTAAGTTGACACAAACTAGAGTCACCTGGGAGGCAGAAACCTCAACTGAGAATGTGCCTCCATTAGATTGACCTGCAGGCATGTCTACAGGGCCATTAATTATTTGTGTGAGAAGGCCTACTATGAACCATGCCACATAACATGCACATGCACGTACACACACACACACACACACACACACACACACACACGGGGGGGGGGAGGCTGAGTTATACATGAAAGCAGGCTGAGCAACCCATGGGAAGCAAGGCAACGAGCAGCTCTCCTCCATGATCTCTGCATCAGCTTATCTCCAGGTTCCTGCCCTGATTCCATTCATGTTCTGACTTCCCTCAATGATGAATTGTGATCAGGATGTGTAAATCAAATAAACCTTTTCTTTCTCGGGTAGCATTTGTTCACAGTAG